TACTCCACACCGCGGCTGCCACTCTTGGTGGGTACCAGGTGCGTAAGAGGCATCTCACTCTCTGTATCTCGCATCCGTTTGAACGCCGATCCCGAAGCACCGGATTGAGCTCCAGTTTGCGACGAGTAAGCATTTTTAGCAGATGAAAATATACCTGGAAATGCTGCCTTGAATACAGGACGCATCATGGGCACACAGGCATTGGTAATTGCTAGTGCAGGTTCTGTGACACTCCAGAAGGCGGCCCAGATCATGCTGTACGAAAGGTCGGTGAAGTCAACGGTGGTGAGGACGTGGATACGGATGATCGTGATGGCCGAGATGCTAATAACCCACTGTTAGTTCCCACCGACTTGTGCAATCCAAGTTTCAGTATGTGAAGGTACTCACAACAAGCCTACGCCAAATATACCGTACAGAGCTACTTTCGTCCCGGTCGACATCTGCAGTTTCCAGATATGGTGAACCGGTAGGGCCATAATTAGAAGGTCTGTCACGAGATTGAAGGCACCAATGGTCGAAAAGGCGACGTTCATGCTAGCGCAATGACCAGGCAAAGCAGCGTTCCAGTTTTTCGCAAAGGGTTGACAGATGAGGAAAACCTGAAGCATACTTCCGAGCCAATAAGCCCCCGCGCAGCCCATGCACACTCTAGCAGCCATGCGAAATCCAGGCGTCACAAAAATTCGAAGATAGAAGAATAAGTAGGAGAACTTGGCGGTGACCATGGCGTTGTAATAGACGATTTGGTAGACGATAAGCATCTGGTTTAGTTAGCGTGGGGATCAAAGCGCAGGACAAGCCTTCATAACGAACCTTAGAGATCAAGATGGTATTCACGGCAGGAAGCTCGGTAACATGGTGTCGCATGCCGACCCGTGCATAGTGGTACTGCATGGCGAGCATACCATAGGTATGCAGCTAGATTGTGAGTCAGTGCCAAGTTCATGTCCTAATTTCGCAGGTGACCGCACCATAGAAATCACGATGAATGCGTCGTCCCACCAAAATTTGCTCTGTCTGATCTTGCGCGACATGAACCGTAGCCCGATTGACGCTGTGCTCAGTGCCACCAGCACGGTATTGGCGATAAGCTGGTCGCGCACAATGGGGTACTCAAAAACATTGTAGAACTGAATCGCCATGCCGGTGTCGCGGCCCCGGGCATCATGGGAGCTGTGACGGGTGAGAACTTGGCCAGGCAAGTTGGAACTCATCTTACACGGGCGTGCAAGGCTTGTGATACTTGAGGGAGTCAGCAACGCACAGTCCAAAAAGCCTTGCCAGTCCAGACAGCGACGATCCGGCTTGCGATCTTCACCAGGATGACTAGGTTCGGAATTGAGCTGTCAGCTCTAGGCTCGTCAGTGAATCTAGTGGGTTAAGCGGGACCCGCCAGGATCTTTGGCGCGACGGCGGCGCTCTGTAGTGTTGATTAGTAGGGCTAGTCCGCGCAGCTAATCAACTAGTTCAAACGGCGGCCGCTGTCATTCACTCCACCAAAGCCAATCCAGCAATCTCCTGGCCAAATGCCGAGTGAGCACCGTTTGGGGGCTGCTCTATCTGCTCCACTGTGGCATCGCCGATCCCAACTTACCTTTATTTTCTTTAGTTCGAGTCCCATCAGTGCACTTGCCCTGTCGAGGTAGGAGTCGCGAAACGAGGCCTCCTATTTCATTCCGTGCGGCCCTGCCGACCTGCCTGTTTCTTCCCTTCCAAACACGCCGATTGACATATCCCTCACCATGACCGGTCTGAAATCCTACGACTACATCATTGTTGGGGCGGGAATTGGTGGGCTGGTGCTCGCCTCCCGCCTTACCGAAGATGCCAATGTGAAGGTGCTTCTTATCGAAGCCGGTGCCAACCGCATTGGGGACCCTCGCATTGAGACTCCCGGTTTCTTGGAGACCATGTATGGAAATCCGGATTTCGATTGGGATTACATGAGTGAGCCGCAGGTAAGGATTCGACCTCTCAGCCTCGGGATCCTCATGTCGGTACTTGGCTAACCCCTGTTGCAGGTGCATGTCAACAACCGCCAAATTGCGCAGCCACGTGGCCGGGTGGTTGGTGGCAGCTCCACCATGAACTTCTCCGTGATCATGTATCCCTCAGAGGCCAATTTCGCCGCATGGAAGTCGCTCGGCAACCAGGGTTGGGGGCCTGAAGATATGGCGCCTTACCTGCGCAAGTTCCACACCTACACTCCACCTTCTGAGGAGACTGCCGCTTTTCTCTCTTTGGATAAATACATGAAGCAGGAGAATCAAGGCAAAGACGGTCCGGTCCCTGTCACTTTGCCTAATGTATATGGTCCCTTCAACCAGGCCTGGGATGAAACCTTTGGCAACCTGGGATGGCGAACCGATGCGGATCCCATCTCGGGCCACAAGATTGGTGCATTCACTTCTCCCTTGTCTGTCGATGGGGCCACCGGCCGTCGCGGTTATGCCGGTGCCTACTACTCGCCGAAGGTGGCAGAGCGACCGAACCTGGACCTGCTGGTCGAGACCATGGTGGAACGAGTCTTACTGACCAAGGATGCCGATGGTCTCGCCAGTGCGACCGGTGTGCAAGTCAAGACCAAAGGCGAACAGAGTCGTGAGATCGTGGCAAATCGTGAGGTGATCATTTGCGCAGGCAGTCTCAACTCGCCTCAGATTCTCGAACTGTCTGGTATCGGAAAACGCGACCTTCTGGAGAAGCACAACATTCCCGTCATCGTTGACCGGCCCGGTGTTGGTGAAAACCTCCAAGATCACTGCCTAGCAGCTGTCAGCTTCGAGGTTGCGGATGGACAAATCTCGGGAGATATTACGCGTGATCCCAATGTTGTGCAGTCATTGATCAAGCTCTACGAGGAAACGCACTCGGGTCCTCTTGCGGGAATGCCTGTTAGCATGGCGTACCTTCCCCTGATGGACCATGAAGGCCAATTATCAAGAGAGAAGGTAGAACAGCTCCTGACCCAGCATCTCGACCAGCACTTGGAGGATGCGTCATCTTCCCAACAGCAGCAGTTCGCTCTTCAACGCGCGCTTCTCCAAGAGGGCCGCAACGCCTCGGCACAATACATGTTCCTCCCCATCCAAGTACACATGAACCCTGGCAAAACCACAATGTCGGATGTCCTTGCCAAAACCCTTCCCGGAAACTACATAACCATCTTGGTCCTGCATAACCACCCCTTCTCCCGCGGCTCCGTGCACATCCGCTCCGCCAATGCGGACGACAAGCCTATTTACGACCCCAACTACCTGTCCCACCCACTTGACATCGAAATTCTTGCCCGGCACGTCCAATACCTTGACCAGATCGCCGCCACCGAGCCGTTCTCAGGTCTCTTGAAGCCCGGTTCCCGACTTCCCGAGCGGGCTATCGACTTGACTGATCTCGAGAAGACCAAGGAGATCGTCAAGGAGCGTCTTTTCACCTGTTTCCACCCGGCAGGATCTTGCGCTATGATGCCGGCCGAGCTGGGCGGTGTGGTGGACTCCAACCTGAAGGTTCACGGCACCCGAAACCTGCGTGTCGTGGACGCCAGTGTCTTCCCCTTGGAGCCAGCTGGCAATATCCAGGCTACTACTTATGCCGTGGCGGAGCGGGCTGCCGATTTGATTCGTGGCCTTTGATCCGGTAGATAATATTGCTGTACATAGGGCAGAAGCAGAAGTTTGACGTTTGAATGCATTTATGTGTCAATGGCAGAGATCAGATGAAGTGCTTGGATCTTGGCTGAAACTAGATGTTGCGGACTTCTCAATGGTTCATTCTAGGAGTATATATCATAATCAATAGGTGGGTTAACTTAGCACTATCGTAGCCATTGCCAAGTAATATGGACGGCATCGATAAAGGGAGGAACTTAAGAATATATAATTAGTAGTAGCAACGCTTCAATGGGAACTTAGGAGACTTGGGGTTATTTTTGCCTCCCTATAGGGCCAAAGCCCCGCATTGTGCTAGTATTCAAAAAAAAAAAAAAAAAAAAAAAAAAAATCAACGCTTGGAATCCCAATGGCCAGTGTGGTAGGCTAGTAAATGTGCTTGATAATTCAAACATGGTTGTTGTGTTGAGTAGAAGGCTGTTCGGCCCTACGTTGTTCCGGCAGCCCTTCCGGACGGGCGCTCAGACGGTGTATTTGGAACAGTCGTCTTAACTGCGCATATTATTCCTATTCCAGTTGCCAGATGCCGATCTCATGGGTTTAGTTCCAGTGGTTGTGACTGGACCCGTTGTGGTATAGGTCTACAATCGTCTCTCTGGTGATGTAAGTATCCCGAGAGGAAGCGAAGCATTCCATATGTGTCGAGGGATGGATGGTCATTGTTAATGCGGGAGATGCCAGAACCATGGAGGCATTCAGGTCTGAAGAGAATCCTACGGTTGGGGAAAAGATATCAACCACAAAGGTGAGTGGTGTGGCATCGCAGGATGAGGAAACGATGCTCAGGCATGGTTACTCTAAGCAAATTAATGCAAACATGCAATGGATCATCTGATAGACGATCCCTGCTCTTGCTGGAAGGAGTGTAGAGGCAAATTACACTGCTGGAATCGCAAACTTTCGGGCTCTCCCGTCATACAGAATGTGCAGCCCGGAATGTAACTACTAAATGAGCTTATCGCATTAAATCTCCGTGTATTGTAACGGGAAAGTAAACACAAGGTTCATTCACAGCCAAGCCAGCTCAAATGAAGAATTGGAACAAAAAGCCTTATCGACCTGACAACGAGGGTCTTCTGACATGCTAGGGCAACTATACGACTCAATTTATCTTCAACAAAGAAGAAATGCTAGTGTATCCTAAAATATTACATGATCGACGGTACCGGAACCTGAGTGAATTATTCAGGGGCGCCGTTTACCGCCTGGACTGGACACCCCTTGTTATTCGGCAAGGGATGAGGAATCAGTCCTGCAATCCTCCATTTCCTCAACCTTGTTCCTTGCACAAGCCAATGACAGTCTAACTAGTTCCAACCAACCCTGTGTTCATCGTTTGACAATTCGCACATTTTGTCGCTTCCACACCAGCACCAAGGCGAGGAACTGGGCAGCTGAGAAACCCCCGATCAGCTTCATCTGCAAACTGTACGCTTCCGCGTACACCTCTCGTACCCGACTCTGAAGCTCAGGTGTCAACGCGTTTATCAATTGGGTGGATACGGAGAGTGCATCCACCTCATCAGCGGGTAACAGCGACGAGAGGCCACTCTGAGTATGGCTATGTAAGATGGCTGTACCTGCTGCAATCCCAAGCGCACCGCCTAGCATGCGCAGTTGGAAACCTGTTCCTAGCGCAATGGACTGGTCCGTAACCGCCACCACCAGTGGAAGCATGAGATAAAACACCGCAACACCAAGACCGGTGCCCAGCCCCGCTAGAACAAGGTATCCGAACTGACCCGGCCATATGTGGGTTTCCGCATGAATTCCAGAGAATAGAAAGAACCCAACGACTTGCATAGCGACACCAGCGATTCCGAGATAAACAAAAGGCAGTGGAAGGCGGCCGGTGAGGACGGAGCAGATTATCATGCCGACAGGGACACTGACTGCAAAGGAAAGAAGCTTCACCCCGGCTCCAAGTGGTGAGCTGCCGTTAACAACCTGAAATCGCTGTGGTATTTCGACAATGCTAACCGTCACACTAACACCCGTAGTAAGGGATCCCCTGAATACAGAAGCCTCCATAGTTAGTATCCCACAAATGTCAGAGAAATAGTTGAAGCGGGGCAGACGTACAGTACAGTCCCCATGAACACACGGTTGGTAAGTAACCGCCATGGTAAGATTGGCTGACAGTTAGAGTTGCGTCTGCTGAGGAACCACTGCCACAGGATGAAAAGAGGTAGTGATATACCTGAGAGCACGAAGAAGATGATCACCGAACTGGAATCCCAACCGAAGTCATAGTTACCTTCCTGCAAAGCAGCCACCAGAAATACTGATGTTGCAAGCACGAGGAACGCCCCCAAAACGTCAACCCGGCGAAGCAATACGCTCTGCCGGGTCAAGAGTTTTGAAGGTAGCACAGAATCTCTAGATCTGGCCGAGTATGGAAATCCCGTCGGCAATGCAATGAAAATCAAGGCCCAGGATAGGGCACCGGCTGGGACACTAGACGACTATTAGCGAATGCTTCCTGCCTACATCAACCGACTTCGCACTTTAGCAGAAATACCCAGCGCCAGTTGCCATGTTCTGCAATCGCCCCTCCGAACAAGGGACCTAGGACTAGGCCGAGGGAGAAAACCACACCGGACAGCCCAGTGACAGTGGCATAATGCTTCTTGGACACCATTCGGATCAAAGAGAAGATGACTAGACTGTAAACACCGGCTCCACCGATCCCCTGAAATGCTCGAAAGATGATTCTAAGCGAGTCAGCAACAAAGTACAGACTATCGAGAGAAGGCTGTTGCGTTACAGTTCTGACAAATTTCGAGAACCACCGCAGCCACCGGAGAACGCCGTGAAGATGGCCAGAGATGCCAGCAACATGGGCTTCACTCCCCAGATTTCGCCCGCTCTGGACCAGATCATAAGAAATCCTTCAAAACATTTGATAAGTATGGGAAATTATTTTGAGAGAGCGTACTCCTTACCTGCATAGGTTAGAAGGTATGAAGTGATTATCCAGCTGCTCCGACCAAACCCTCGTAGATCATTAGTGATGGCGACAAGCGATGTACTGACGATTGTGCTCTCAAGTCCTGTCAGGAAGAAAGAGACATAAAGTCTTGTCCATGCAGGTTAGCTATGGGAAGGTACTATGAAGAAGGATGCCCTACCCAATACCCCCAAGGAGGAGGCGAGCCCCCTTCAGCTGACCGTCCCACTCTAGGTCACTGGAATCGACATTCGTATCTGCAGCATCGTACCGCCCCATTGACACGGGCTGTTCCTTGTAACTTCTCTAAACAAATCGAAATTGTTAAAGCGATGTAATTTACTATGGGGACCCCTGCGATTGACAGAAGATGGTTTTGAGGAACTTTCAGGGAGGTCAGCCTGGCTGCTGCCTTTCCGATGTTATACCCGTGTTACCTCCCGGAGGCTGAGGAATTCCTAACGGGTGGCACCAAACATGACCCTTGCAAAAATCTAGTGGGGATCCCTGCCATTTAGGGTGAAGATGCAAAAGAAAGTTCCCGATAGAGCCGCGTGCATGATGCCGAGGAACGTGCAATTCGCAGTAAAGCCTTGCAATAAGCTAGCGCAAACAACTCTGGAAATTTGATGTCTTTGTGCTAACGTGACGACATGCATACTCCACTACAGTGTACCTCCCTGGCTCAAAGTCTGGTATTCACGATTAACTCATCTACCATTTCCTATTGGCGCAATTGAAAACCGGAGCATGTATCCCAATCAAGTTGTCATACTCCGTACACATCCTTCTGCAGAAAATTATTCAAGCCTGGCCCATCGCGCGGTGGATCACATTCGCCATGACCACTACCTCTCCTGCTGCTGTCGGAATCTGATGGCCTCCTTTATGCACGAAGACTGACTTGTTCTCTTTGCAGTACCCAGGAGCCAATGAAGCCTTTTCATTCAAAGGGTCCGCCGATCCCCATACATGTGCCGTAGGAATGGATATGATCGGCTGGGGATCGCAGGGCTCAATGCGACCCAGACGAAGAAATTCCATATCATAGGGCTTACCAGGGTTGGAGAAAAGAACGGCTACCTTGAACGGCGGCTCTTGCATGCCCCTCTTACGAGCGTGGTCGATCAGTATGGTCAGCGCTATGCTGGTTCCTAGGCTGAATGCCATAACGCCGTCATAGGGGCCTTTGCCGCGCAAGTATCTTTCCAGATCCTGAACTGCCTGCAGGCAGGATTGAGGTTGGTGTGGGTCACAGTACGCATGTGTCGCTTCTCCTGTTTCGACAATCGATTCCGCCGCTGAAGCAGTTAACGTCTAATTTTCCACTCGCACGGGTAATAGTGATTATCTTACAAGCCTCCCATGGTACGGTGCCTTCGACAAAATCGAAGGTGTGTCTCTCGCCTAGTTCATAGCGCAGCGCGGCTTTGTAACCGCAAGTGGTAAGCAAATTTTCCGAGGACCCCTCAATAATCGTGCCAGGAGGTTGGTACCTGTCTGCTGCTCGAATACCTTGGCATTGTTAGTGGGGACAAGAGTTCTTAGGAAGTTATGGAGAAGGTTCACAAAAGTCTTACCCGCGAGTTACTACCGATTCCGTGCAAACTTGCCAACAAGTGCTGTGTTAGGACAGATTAACAATTGACGAAGGCTTGATATCGGGCCTACCATAGAAACCGCATCTTGATCCAATCAGAAATGTGTATTTGATGTCAAGACGAGATATTCGCCCGTCGTTGAATTGTCAACTCTGAAGAGGAAGCCAAGATAGTATGCCCAAAATGCCCAAGTACAGTCGTTCCTATACCTCGCTACTTATACATTCTGCGACTAATCCTGGCTTCTGGCTACAGCAGAACTTGCCTTCCAAGAGTGACCTCTACAAGACCCTTTCAGCCAATTGTACTACCATTTTGGTCTATTCTGTACATTTGCAGCGTGGGATATCCGGATCGAAACATGCCGCCCCTTACAGTCTCTATAGCCTCTCTGTCATGTGGAATTTGTGTGATACCCACCCCCCATGCAATCAGGCTAAAATGGAATATCGATCAAAGATATGAATGGGACGGCTGACATCAGTTGTGGACAATCCTGTGAAAATACATGCTTATCAAGTCATCCCACTGGAAAGAAAGTTTTTGAAGAATGAGAGAATTTTGCACGATTGACTCGCCACGGCGAACTTCTTGATACCGAGCGGCATGATAGACTTTGTGTATCATCATCTCGCAACCGGCCACGGATACTTATAAAGCAGTATGTGTGCCACGATATTTCGTCCTACAGTATTATCGAAGCAATATCCTTGACAGCGTATCTGAGCTTACCTATTGCCCTGATACTTCCCGTTTCATACTCCTGTGGTGCTCTGAGCAACATGCCAGGACAGCAATTGGAGCCCCTGGCCGTAGTTGGGATCTCCCTTCGGTTTCCGGGAGAGGCCGTCTCCCCAGAAAGCTTCTGGCAACTTATTCTGAGTGGGAGAAGCACAGGGAAGGAGATACCTCCCGACCGATATGGCATTGACGCCTGGCACCATCCAGACTATAGCCAGCTGGACCGCGTGTCTCAGAGAAAGGCCAACTTCCTGGAAGGTGACATCGGTCAGTTTGATGCGGGCTTTTTCTCCATCTCGGCCGCAGAGGCCGAAGCAATGGATCCGCAGCAACGCCTTGCACTCGAGACGGCCTATCACGCCCTAGAAAATGCAGGCTATCCAATAGAGTCCATAACGGGATCTAAGATGGCTGTGTTTACGGGTGCATTCAGCAATGACTACCAGCGCCTTCACGCAAAGGATCTGATGACCCTGCCGAAGGGCCACGCGACGGGGACCTCTATGAATATGCTGGCTAACCGCGTCAGCTGGTTTTTCAACCTCCGAGGACCTAGCTCAAATGTAGATACTGCGTGCTCAAGCAGTTTAATGGCTTTGCACCTTGCGTGCCAGTCCATCTGGAATGGCGAATCCTCCTCGGTCTGAACACCCCTAGTCATCCCATGATGTCTTTTCCATTACTAACTTGGCAGCAGGGAATGGCAATTGGTTGCAATGCCATTCTTGGCTTAGATACCGTTCTAGCGTTGGATAATCTTGGTATTCTGTCCAAGGATGGGCGGTCATACAGCTTTGACGAAAGGGGCAATGGTTACGCTCGTGGTGAAGGAGTGGGTGCTCTGATAGTTCGCCCACTGCGCGACGCGATCAAAAACGGGGACAATATTCGCGCCCTAATTCGATCAACTGGTTCGAATCAAGACGGAAAGACCCCGGGTATTACGCAACCGAGCATGGAAAGACAAGAGGATCTCTACCGCGATACTTATGAAAGAGCTGGCTTGAGTTTAGACGTCACCAGATATGTGGAGGGACACGGGACAGGTATGATTGATTGATTTCCACTGTCTAGGCAGTGGCTCGAGGAGTTCAGGCTGTTGCTAATGAGAATGACCAAGTAAGGGACCGCTGTTGGCGACCCCATTGAAGCGCGAGCCATAGGAAATATTTTCCGTCCCTATCGCAGCTCAGATGATCCTGTCTACCTGTATGTATCATCGTCTTGAGCACTACTATCTATGACATCTGACTGTCACTAGGGGGTCTGTCAAATCCACCATCGGTCACCTGGAAGGCGCAAGTGGCGTTGCCGGAGTTATTAAGGCCGTCCTGGCGGTTGAGAAAGGAATTATACCACCCAATACAGACCTCCAGACATTGAATCCTCGGATCGACGAAGAATTTCTGCATGTTAAGGTTTGTCTGAGTGGGTGTATTCCTCATGCGATCACTGCTAATATAACTAGGTCCCTAGGAAAGCTATCCCGTGGCCGGTCGATGGCATACGGAGGGCATCCGTGAGCTCATTCGGCTTTGGAGGCACCAATGTACACGTTGTCCTGGATGATGCACCCAGCCAGCTCAACGTCAATGGTTTTACAGAGCAGCCCTACTCAAATGGCACAGACCTCATGCCGTCTAGAAGATTAACTAGGAAGCCTTCTGGTACCGCAAGGCTCCTTGTGTGGTCTTCTGCGGACAAGGATGGCATTCCCCGCTTGAGAGATACTTGGAAGCCTTACTTCGCTGGTCTCCAAATCGCATCTGAGGAAAGACCCGAATACCTTGATCGCCTCTCACATACGTTGTCCACCAGGCGATCATGTCTAGAATGGCGCGCATACGCGGTTGTTCAGCTTAGTTGCGACTGGAAAACGATTCCTGACAGCCTTACGTGCCCAGGTCAATCCATATCATCGCCAAATCTTGCTTACGTATTCTCCGGGGTGAGTTCTCTTATCGTTGAGGTTCTTTACTTTGAGGGGGCTCTAATCCCGGTTGTTTGAAACATAGCAAGGTGCTCAGTGGTATGCAATGGGTAGAGAGCTATTGGATGCATACCCGACGTTCTTGAACAGTATTCGGGATGCGAACGCGTACCTGAAAACCTTGGGGTGCCAGTGGGACCTGCTAGGTAATCAAACCACTCCGGATTAAGCACCCTGCGGTTGGAGCTGACGCCAAGTTAGATGCTCTTCAGAAGAGTGAACCGGAATCCTGCGTCAACCTTACCGACTACAGCCAGACCCTGTGCACCGCACTACAGGTCGCGTTGGTCGAACTTCTGGATCAATTTGGAATAGTGCCCAGAAAGGTCGTAGGGCATTCGTCGGGCGAAATAGCTGCTGCGTAAGGTCTACCCTGCATTCCTAAAAACTGTTCTAAGTATGATTACAGGTACGCAGTGCGCGCTATTTCCCGACGCGATGCTTGGAGGATTGCTTTCTACCGGGGTCTATGGAGCAGCAAGCTGGAGAATCACAGCTATGTCCGGGGATCCATGCTGGCTGTCGCACTAAGCGCAGATGAGGTTCTTGCATATCTCGATCGAGTGACACATAACCACGTCCTTCTTCGACTTACTGTTGCCTGCATCAACAGCCCAAATAGCGTCACCGTCTCTGGCGAAAAATCACAAATTGATGACTTGAAGTCACTGCTCGAGGCTGACCAGATCTTCTGCAGGCGGTTGAAGGTCAGGGTGGCCTACCATTCATTTCAAATGCACGAGATTGCAGGCCAATATGAGACTTCCATTGGTCAAATGGACGAGGAACCGGATGAATTTCACAATCATCGTCCTTGCATGGTGTCCTCTGTCACAGGAGACTGGATCACAAGTGACGTCTTGAGGACACCACAATACTGGGCCACCAACTTGGTATCCCCAGTCCAGTTCTCGAAGGCTCTGGCTGTGGCCTGTTCCTCTACCGTTTCGCCCCCAGAAAAGCTTGATGGAAGTCATTGCAGGTCCTTGGAAGTACATCATGTTGTGGAGGTTGGGCCACACTCAGCACTACAGGGACCTACGAAGTCGATCCTAGCAGATATGGAGCGCTCTTCTGTTTACTATTTGTCTTTGCTCCAGAGAAACGTACCAGCCACATCGACTGTACTAGATGTGGTGGGGTATCTCTGGGCCTCTGGCTATAAGGTTGACTTAGCCGCAGCAAACCAGGACCGGTCGACCGAGTGCAAGGCTGAGATACCCTGTCTGGACAACTTGCCCGAGTACCCATTCAATCATAGCAAATCCTATTGGCATGAGAGTCAGATTAGTCGAAATATCCGTATGCCACGCTCCGGCAAGCATGAACTTCTTGGGACTCCTGATCCTGCCTGGAACCCGCATCAACCCCGCTGGAGGCATATCATTCGCACGTCCACCATACCCTGGGTACAGGATCATCAGGTATGATAGCAGAGAGGTTTTCTTTGCGGGGCCTGGTGATTGAAAGCTAACGCGGGCTTCAGGTCAATGGAACAGTGGTTTACCCCGGTGCAGGGATGGTTCTTATGGCAGTTGAGGCCGGGAAGCAGCTATGTCGGGAAGGGCGTCAAATACTTTCATTTGACATCCTGGATACAGCCTTGCATTCAGCCATCCAAGTATCGGGACATGGTGATGTAGAGTCCAGCTTCTCTATGCACCCGGTCAGCAGCATGCGGTCCAAGAACTCAGACTTCTTCGAATTCGGCCTCTACACTGCCCTAGGCTCATCATGGACTACGAATTGCACCGGTTCTATTCGCATTAATTATTCGCCAGAGGAAGCCGACCCTGTTAGCAATGACCAGGTTGACCAACTGAACAACACACATCAACACTCTTTGTTACGGGCAGAGCAGCAAGCTGCATCTGACGCGGATAGTAGTGCCATTTATGACCATTTGAGGAAATGTGGCTATCATTACGGTGACAGCTTCCAGGGAATCACTGCCCTCGCATATGACCCACAAGATACCAGCACAGTAGTGGGTGACGTCCACCATCGGCTCATTAAGGCTGGATCGACCCTACACCCTACAGCCTTGGATGCCATGTTCCAAATGCTACTGTGTGCTAATGCAGCCTGCGGAAAAAAGGAAGTTCCCACTTATGTCCCAACGCATATAAAGAGGCTACAGGTTCTTAAGGATGGCCAACCGGGACCATCGGAAAGATTCAAAGTTCTAGCTAGCGCAAACTTTGATTCATCTAAGGAGGTAACCGGATCAATAGCTGCATTCGGGGCTAACAATAGGCGGCCTTCAGTCCTCGTAGAAGGGCTCACCTGTACGATGGTCGACGGGATCCGGGCCATTAGCGATGACTCCACAACAGCAGGGAGTCTGTGCTCTGAGATTGAATGGAAACCGGACGTTCGCTTATTAGGGAATGCTGAGATCGAGCAATACTGCCAGAGAAACTTGCCAGCGGCCTTGTCTAAGGAAATCCTTACTGAGCTCGACTTTGTAGTTCTTGCTCGTGTACTGGAGGCTTACCGTGTGTTCTCTGAACAGAAGAAACAGCCTGCGAAGCCATATCTACAGAAATACATCGAGTGGGCGGTCCACCAGAAGGATCGTCTAGAGCATAATGAAATGCTCTACTCTTCAGAACCTTGGAGAAGCCGGTTACAGGACTGGAAGTACGTCCATGATGTGGAAAGTCGTTTGCTTGTCGAGGCTCCATTCACGAAGCTCCTTATCAACGTCGGGCAAAACCTTTTGGACTTTCTCACGGGCGCTGTTGATCCTCTGGAGTTCTTCTTCACTGGCAACATTTCGGACGAATCCTTCGCTGGCAGTATGGTCGATGATTTCTACGCAGGCACGGTAAGACAAGCGCTGTCTCGAGTCTTTCAGAATAGCTAAACTAACACTATCTACAGATGGCTATGGCTAATTTCGCAAAAGCTGTTCCCAAGTTCATGGATCTCATGGCTCATACAAATCCTGGCATGAACATTCTTGAAGTCGGAGCTGGTGTCGGAGTAGCTACCAAGGCCTGCCTTGAAGCTCTCGGGGCTTCAGGACACGCCTCCGGCTCCAGGTATGCCCGCTGGGATTACACGGACATCTCACGCTCTTTCTTTGGTAAAGCAGCCACCAAATTTGGAGAAGAGGGCTCCAGAATGCAGTTCAAGAAGCTGGACATTGAGGAAGATCCAGAACAACAGGGCTTTGAAGCGGGAAGCTACGATATGATTGTAGCCGGATGGGTATGTTGACCTAGTGATAGTGCGATGGTGGCTTGGCCTCGACTGACTCTCGCAGGTTGTGCATGCAACGCACAGTTTAGAGCGTACGCTGACCAACATCCGCAAGCTACTTAAGCCGTAAGCGTGCTTAGACCTTCTGGTGTACGTTTTACTGACCATGTTGCCCTAGTGGTGGAAAGCTTTTGCTAGCCGAGGTGACAAACCCCTTCCGTACAGCGGCCGCGTTTGGTCTACTCGAAGGGTGGTGGCTCAGTAAGTTTGTGCTTTCCATACTGCCCTCTGGTTGCTTTCTGAAAATTATCGAGCATATCTAATGATTGAAAAGGCTCTGAACCTTATCGGGTCTACGGGCCTTGCGTGGACCGAGAACGATGGGATGATGTGTTACAGAAGACAGGGTTCACCGGCTGTGATGTCTATTTCCCCGACTTCCAAGACAGTAAGCTTCATGAGCATGCTGTGTTTGTTTCCACAGCTTCGCACGATGTTGCACCTATAGGCTGGAACCCGCGCATCGAAATTGTATACGAACCAAACGAGCCTAAGCAGCATGATCTTGCCAGCTCATTGAAAGAAAAATGCCAGGCTCTCGTTAAATCTGGAGTAGCCTGCGTACCTGTTTACAATGCCTCTCCGGACTCTCAGGATGTACTCCGGGTGTTCCTTCTCGACTTCGAGAAACAATCGTTATATAACACGGGGCCAACTTTATATGAAAAGCTGCGAGAGCTATTCACAGCCTCAGGAACTACACTCTGGGTAACCAAGACAAGCGGTCTTCCCGCGCCTGATCCAAGAGTCCATCTCATTGATGGTTTATTCCGCGTTCTCGCTGAGGAAGACGGGCACCAGAATCGGTATGTCTTGTCGCTCGAGGGATCTGCGGAGCGCGAATCTGTCATGGCGATGATTCAGCATATATTGAAACCACCGGTACAAGGGCTAGATACTGAGTACACTATGCGAGATGGAACTCTTCACAATCCGCGGCTCGTCAACAGTGCGCGGCTTGAACAACAAGTGTTATTGCAGACAGCGACCCACACTGAATGTGAGCAGAGCTTTGGGGATGTCCCGCTAAGTTTGGACTTGAATAGCTCAAGCTTTTCGAATGGCTTTCGATTTATTGAGAGTGGCCCGACAGGCGATCTTGGTGAGACAGAAGTGGAGCTTGAAATTCACTGTGCTGGGCTGAACTTCCGTGATGTTCTCATATCACTGGGCCAGATACCCAATGCGGAAGTCTGGCAGGAGGGTGCTGGTGTGGTCACTAAAGTCGGCAAAAAGTGCACTCGGTTCAAGCCTGGCGACAGAGTGGCAGGGTTCGTCCCCCAGCCGTTCCAGGCTCGGACCGTATTCGTCGAAGGTAATCCGGTAGTTCACATCCCGCAAGGGCAGTCCTATGCCGAAGCTGCAGGCATCCCAACCAGTTTCCTAACAGCCTGGTTCTCGCTCACTGAGGTGGCGCGTATTAAACCTGGGGAGTCCGTTCTCATCCACTCCGGGGCTGGAGGCACAGGACAGGCCCTAATCCAGATAGCTCTGCTGTACCAGGCAGAGATATACACGACTGTTGGAACGAAGGAAAAACAGGACTTCCTTAAGCAAAGATATCCTATCCCAGCGGAACGCATCTTCTCCAGTCGGTCAACGGATTTTGCATCCGCGATCATGCAGATGACTGGAGGGAAAGGTGTGGACGTTGTGGTGAACTCATTATCCGGCGAAGGGCTCGTAGAGTCATGGGGATGTACTTCACCCTATGGGCGATTCGTCGAGCTGGGGAAGAAAGATATTCTTGCCAACGCCAAGCTTCCCATGAGACAGTTTCTGAAGAACGTCACTTACAGCTGCTTTGACTTGGCGCTGTTGCAGCAAGACCGCCCTCACATATGCCGTGATGCCTTGGAGACAGTGATGAGTCTAATGGATCAAGGCAAGCTGTCCCCTCAGGAACCAACCCATGTGTATGGAGTTGGTGAAATAGAGAAGGCGTACAGACACATGCAATCTGGGAAGAATTTCGGTAAGATTGTGATTGAGATGCGTAAATCAGATATCGTCAAGGTCTGCTTGTCCCCCTTCGATATTGCCACAGCTAGCTAACTGAAACCAGACCCTACTGAAGTCGAAGCCTAACACTGATTTGGATCCCGATGCAACATATCTGGTCGCAGGGGGTCTGGGCGGACTCGGTCAGAGTATGCTCACGTGGATGGTTGGCAGGGGCGCTCGGAATCTCCTGTTATTGTCCCGTTCTGGAGAAAAGGGCAGGGAAACCCAAGAGTTCCTCAGTTATCTGAGAGCAGAAGGAGCCAACGTTCAAGTGCGTGTCTGCGATGTCGCGGAGGAAGACTCATTACGTGCAGCGATTGAGGATGCGGCATCACATATGCCCCCAATCAAGGGCTGCATTCAAGCCGCCATGGTATTACAAGTAAGCAACTCCCTCTGGAAATAGGAGAACCATCTTCGAGGCATTTCTAATACATACCCATCAACCAGGATGTCGGGTTCGAAAACATGACCTACAAGGACTGGGAGACCGCCGTTAAGCCCAAAGCACAAGGGTCCTGGAATCTACATAACCTTCTCCCACGCGGCCTTGACTTTTTCCTTATGCTCTCTTCTATGAATGGGGTGATTGGACACGTCGGCCAAGCGAACTATGCAGCAGGCAACACATTCCAGGATGCACTAGCACATCATCGCGTCCAGTGCGGCGAGAATGCCACCTCTCTCGACCTAGGTCTCTTCACATTCACCGGACGAGTAGCCCGAGACCCAAGACTCCTTCAGATCATGCTGAACGTCTTCCCCCATCAACCGATTACCGAGCCTGAGTTCCACACGCTTCTTGACGTATACTGCAGCCCGACGGTGTGCAAAGAGAAACGCCTTCCTTGCCAACTCTCATTCGGAATGCGACCGCACGAAGGCACCTCAACCAAGGCCTACTGGCTCGGCAAGCCTATGTTCCGGTATATGGCTCAGCAGCGGTCATCTGAGGGGCACCGCGAGCGCCAGGGTCAATCAATCAACCTTCCCGCTGCATTCAGAGGCGCGGAGTCAATGGCTGATGCAACCGCTGCGGTGACCAAGGCCCTGACCGTCAAGTTGGCAAGGACCTTGTCTGTGGACGAAGGGAGCCTGGATGAGAATAAGGCCCTGCACCAATACGGTGTCGACTCGCTAGTAGCTGTAGAACTGCGGACGTGGTTCTCCAAGGAGGTACAGGCGGATGTTGCTACGTTTGATATAATCGGTCGCGCGACGATTACTTCCTTGGCTGGGGTGGCTGCAAGTCGGAGTAAGTTGCCTCGGGGTTGGTCCTGATTGGGAATATCTCGTCACCAACTTGGTCATTAGCTAGATTTGATGGAGGGACATATGGGATACTGTCATGCTATTATCGCACTGAACATTACATTGTGCTATTCGCGTCTTTATAGTATAACAACGTCATCATCTTAACCCGTGGGAGCTTGGTATAGAACACACTTACAGTTGATGAAGGCGTGGCACCATTTTGTCTTACCTGGTGGATTGATGTTTAACTCACTGGCCGCCCTAGCGCGTATGGTGTTGCGGCATTCACTAGATTTTCTTCTCCCCCTCCTTCTCTTGTCTCCAACTCATATCCGCGACGAAGAGCAAAAGCTTGGGAGGAGTACTACTGCATTGGAACTCTAGACTCCAGCAATGCTATGGTGTTGAGGAATGTGGCCCTTCATCCCTATATTGTTCTTGGCGTCGGCCCCGTCGGCCACCTGTTTCACAGCCAGGCCATAAGGGAATTGAGGTGTCTTTGTTATTTCCACTATAGATGCCATGGCGTAGATGAGTCCTTTGGGAAACCAATTTAGAGTATTCATCAATTCTCTACATTTATCCAAATTCGCAGTGTATTTTGTGTATTAACCACTAAGGCGCAGGTAGTAATAATCACCCCTTGATGTGCCGTACCTAGTGGGGGCAAAAATATATTCCGTTATCTCCATCCAACGCACAAACTTCAAACTACCGTCTATATTGTACATTTGCGATTTCATTTTTCTGGCTCAGTCTCAGGTGAAACATATGAGCCATTTGGAACGCGGTCACCAATGGTCTTTCAATGTCTCGTTTTATCGAGCAGAATCAAGGTAGTATACGCCGAAACCGGCGGCGAAATGGCTAACACAACAGGGAGTGCTTGTTGCATTCGGCTTGACTACAAGAAATGTAAAAAGGTGTCTAAGTCCTACTAAATCTCGATGCAGAAATATATGTTGGAAACATGTAAATGCCTTCAATCATTAAAACGTATACAGTATCATCTAATGCTTGACATAATATACAGATCAAGTAGTCGTTGAATAAGAACGATATCTATCGCGTCTTCCCACTACCAGTGGGGTTGATTATATTTACAACTTAAGACCGACCGGACTAATAGTCAGTGGCTCAAGAAAAAGCAGCAAAGCAAGTGCTGTTGGCCTGGGAATCCTCCCAGCCGACACACTTCCAGCAGCTCAGCAGACCGGTAGGGTCATACTTGCGCTTGATGGAGAGGAGCTTGTCGTAGTTGTCTCCCCACCAGGCCTCCTGCCAGTCAACAGTGAAGGCGTTAGCCTCGTTGCTGTAAGCACCACTGCCAGGGGTGATACGCTCCAGGGTAGCAGTCATGTTCTGCAGAGTGGCAATCTTTTGCTCGCGGGTCTGCAGGGTGCTGTTCCAGGCCCAGCTGCTGCCGGAACCCAGCTCCCAGACGGACTTGCGCCAGGCGGGGGAGGCACTGGTGGAGCCCTCAGTGTAGTTGTACAGGACAGGGGCGACGACGGGGATGTAAGGGGTCTGGCCGTTGGCGAGGATGAGCTCGAAGAAGTCCATCAGGTTGGAGCGACCCTCGGCGGTCTCGAAGACGTCGGTGGGGACCAAGCGACTGCCAGCGAAGTGGGTGACACCAACGCTGACGGAGCTGGAGGTGACGTACTTCTCGTAGAAGTCGTACCAGGAAGAGAAGGCCTCGATGACGGCGGAACCACCCTGAGCCTTGGCGTAGGCGGCAACCTCGGCCATGGAGGCATTCGCTTCAGCGACAGAGAGCAGGGGGGAGACGTTGACGAGGGTGTCGCCGGTGACGTGACCACCCCAGCCTTCCTTGGCCCACTTCAGAGTATTGTTGACAACGATGTCCATGAAGGGGAGGACGTTGGTGGAGTTGCTGGTGAACTTGATGATGGCGGCGACGAAGCTGACGGTGGGCTCGACGCGGTGAGTGCTCTCGAGGACAACACCAAAGGTACCACCACCGCCACCACGCAGGGCCCAGAAGAGGTCCTGGTTCTGGCACTCGTTGGCGATGCGCAGCTCGCCATCAGGGGTGACAACCTTGAACTGGACGACACGGTCGACACCAAGACCATAAACGGGGGAGAGGACCGAGTGACCACCGTTCATGACCCAACCGCCAGAGAGACCGACGGTGGGGGAGTAACCACCAAGGATGGTGACGTTGTTCTGATGAGCGAACTCGTAGGCTTCATCGAAGTTAACACCAGCACCGGCAGTGATAGCGTTGTAGGAGGCCTGGCAGCCTTCGGGGACAAAGGCGGGACTGTAGCTGAGGTTCTGCAGCTTGCGAGTCCACAGGGCCAAGGTACCCTTGCCGCTGCTGCGGGTCAGGTAATCATGACCACTGTTCTTGATGGACAGACGGGTACCAGAGCAGTTGGAGAAGTGCAGAGCGTGGCGGACATCGGAGTCATCCTTGACCTCGATGTAGTAGGAGGGCATGTTGCCCTGACGGCAGGTCTGGTTGACAAAGGCCAGAGGATCGGTGGGGTCGCTGCTATCGAGCAGACATTGATCCTTGGGGTTAGACGAGCACATCTCATCCTGGTTGTTCATGTAACCATTGGGAGAGTTGGTGCGGAGGTAAGGGTCGGTGTAGTTGTCCTGAATGTTGGCACAGGCGGCATCGTTGGGGGTGACGGACTGGCCATTGTAGTTGGAGAAGCAAGGGAGGGAGAAAGGGGTCAAGGGCTGTACACGACCCTGAAGGGTAGCGTTGAGGCTATCCAGAGTGCATGAGCAACCACAAGCGGAGCCCAGTCCAAAGAATTGGACGGCCAGAAGGGCCAACGAGGTCTTGGAAGGCGAAGGCGTCATTCTTCAGGGCTGCCACGCGACTGTGAGACAAACTCGGCGGAAGGGAACGGGGAAACAGCGACGATCGCGACCATTTGAATGAACGGTCGGGGCCAACGTTCAGGAGAAATTTTTCTTACCTTCGGGAAAAACGGAATGAACGGACCAATTCAATGTCTCATACGATTCATACGATTCAAAGCTATTGAAGACTGGGTGGGCAAAGGTTGTGGGTTGTGGAGGAAGAATTGCTTGGTGGCTGGAGAGTGCGAGATGCGGTAGTTGGGCGACATACGCCGCAACCGGGCCCGTAGCTGTGAAGAAAACCCAAGGAAGCTGCATGGAGTTGCAAGTGGACCCTTTGCTCCACCATGGTTAGTATAAACTATGTAGTGCCACCAATCATAAATGTTCAAGGGGTGGAATCTTGACGCAGGTCCCCGTTGGGGCTTGTTGGTAAGTGGAGTTAGGTTTCGGTCGACGTCCGAAGCTTTTCCTTGAATGCACACCACCACGTTTGCCCTCACACAATAGATCGTGGCTGCCTTCTTCACCCTACGCTAGATTACCACGGAGTACTAAAAGTATTAGACCACTACTACCATTGTGTACCTGCACAATTGGACCATGTGGACACCATCTGAGACCAGCGTCTCAAATTGATTGCACCACGTTGTCTCTCGGGTTTTCTTCGCTCGGTAACTATCTTCCTGCAGGAAGACCCCTGAAGCCCATCGCACGGCATGCCGGCATAGACCACGCGAAGGAATTTATCCACACAACCACCGATGATCCTTGCCATGTCTCCCCTCAGCCCCCCAGAATCCCAGCTGCTGGATTGCTGGGGTTTTTATCACCACCAGATATACGCTGATGATCGCAGTGGTACGGACCAGTTCCCAGCGGGACGCACAGCGCATTGAACACGGCGGACAGAAAGATCGACCTCTGAACCACGGTCGCAGACAAGCCACCTCGATCAATTATCGCCGCTTACTCAGTGTCAATCTATTCTGGTCTCAGTTCTGGCTCGTCAATCTAGCGGCGGAGAAAGTTAAAAAAGTTAAAAATTCGCCGAGCCGTGGAAATGAAAAGCCAATGAATCCTGCATCCGGTTCAAATAGTCTTGCACAAATTAGCGGACGCCTTCCCAATCTTTATCGTAACTCCGACCGGGCTGAGTCTGAGTTAAAGAATCGCATCCCCTTGCCCTTTAGGTTCTGGTGGCGACGACAGCCCTTTCGTAATATTATTCATTAATTCGGATCCTTCTTGCACAGAACCACAAAAGACCACAAATCCCCCTCTTCCCCCCTCCCTGAAATGGGAATCTTATATGGAATCGCCTGACCCGCCTGGTCGCTGCTCCCTGCATCGCTGACTCGTATCGCCGGCCGTGCAGGATGACTTACGAAGAGAATCGGTACTGGAAGAATGTCCTGACCATCGTACCCATCATTGGTGCTGCTCTGGCCACCGTTTCGTATGTCCTGCGATTATATTCGCGGCGCTTCACCACCGCCGGTCTGAAAGTAGAGGACTGGTTGATGGGCGTGGGCTTGATTCTTTCCTACTGCGCAACCGCCTTTGTTGTGGACAGTGAGTTGCTCGCACCTCTCATGCATAGCTGGCCGACCGAGTGAATACTGATTCTTGCTGCGCATATAGCCGCATTCAATGGCGTGGGTTTACCAGTTAGCTCTCTGCCGGCCGACGAACGGCGACGTATTCAATTTGTACGTTCTCAATGGGCGCACTTGGTTTGCGATGGCACCCACTAACATATGCACGAATTTGATACAGGGTTCATGGATGATTCAGAAGTTTTGGGCGCCGTCCGCTGCGTTTGTGAAGATATCGATCGTCGTGTTCCTGAAGCGTCTACTGGGAACGGTGCGCGCGTATGCAATTATCTCGAATATCCTGATTGGCTTTATTGCCTGTTGGGCTGTCACGGCACTGCTTGTGAACATTTTTCAATGTACTCCAGTTCAGTACTACTATGACAAGGATCTCAAGGGACATTGCATGAGCGGCCAGCGAGCCTTCTTCCAGGCGATGGGAGCGTTTTCTTTGGTTGAGGATGTCATTGTGCTGTGTCTACCCACACCTATTGTTTGGGGGCTACAGATTACCTTTCGTCAGAAAATTGCTGTGACGCTCGTGTTCTCCCTGGGTGGACTGTATGTTATCCTGTGGATTGTCTCGAATTCCGGCGCTGACAACTGAACAGGGTCTGTATATTCAGTCTGATGCGTCTGATTGAGTTCCGTAATTTCGTCACCACCGACCTGGCTTGTGAGTTATATATTTTTGGAGGATTATTGGCGTTCTCGACTAATTGATTACAGCCTCAAGCGCCAAAGAATCCGTCTGGACTTGTCTCGAACTCGATGTAGCTATCATTTGTGGCTGTCTGCCTCTCATGAAGCCTCTGATTCAGGGCTTCCTCGGCAAAGTGCGAAGCGGAGTCTCCAAAGCCCGTTCCCACCCGTCATCCGGCACGAAGCTATACTTTCCCAACGGCACCACCCACAACAACGATGGATTTCGCCAGATCAACGATCCGTTGAGCTCCATGGCCTCCAAGAACGCTCATATCGCTGCCGACGAGACTCGAAGAAGTTCCGACGTTGAGCTGCAGGGCATCGCGGTAACCACCCGAATCGACCAGGATATCGACCGCCCGCGTACCGGAAATTCGACAGATGTCTCCGCCGAACACGTGTGGCCACGGTGAAAGGTGCTGCCAGGGTGATAGTCGGTACTGGGCCTACAACAGTGCAGCAGCTTATGAAGTGCTACTGAACGCGGCTGGACGAAGGGATCAGCCCGCATCCCGACCCCAGCATGCTACACTTATTAGAGACGAGGGACATCGCATGCGTGTTCCATGCAAGGTCCGGGAGTATGGTGCTCAAGCACCTCGCTCCGGCCAGACATCTCTTCGGTAACATTGAAGATGAAGGGGCCTACTGCTCATCTACGACGCATCTGAAAGAGATGCGATAAGCAACGCCATCGGCATAAACGTCTACGAAGTCTGACGATATAGATATAGATCGATAGATTAAACCTAATTCACATAATACTTCACAGCTATCGCACGATGCAGCTCTCACTACGATTACAGCAATAGTAAAGTGACATTTTGTCACATATTTTGTGTGTTTAGTATGCAAAACCAGAGTGGATCCCGAAAATTCCATCGTCCCACGGGGATGAAACCGAGACTCCCCAAATCCCTGGACATGTTCGCACCGGCCGACCCGCGCGAAACCCTAGAATCAGCACCCTGCATGTCCGCAATCCCCCAATTCCGGAGATCTCGAGACAGGGAAAAGTATTTGCCGGAATTACGTTGATGAGGCCTATATATCTAAAACCATGGATCGGGAGGATTTCCCGAGCGGGGAGACTTACTCTACATTTTAATAAAGGCAATTTAAGCCCGAAGTGCTAACTCCAAATTAGTCTACTCATAATATGTAGCTCAGACACCACGACATCCTCTTGTTAACATGACTCGAAGAGGCCATGAGATACTATATTGATTAACAATTATACCCTACAAATAAGTATATTCTTCGACTTGAGGGATCCACAGCACTGCACATCATATCATATCAGATAAGCAGATCCGCCGTTATTCAACACCCAGTCCGGGAATGATCACTGCTACTGACTATCTTAGCTCGCAGACAAATTTAAGGGACAACGGCTGTCCAAAAGAATTAGTCTGGCTTAAAAGTATCGGTGAATGGAGATTAGAATGGGGAGAGTGACCCAGACCCGACGATCCTAATACACTGATATTTTGACACACGGAAGATGCGGTGAAATTAGCGTGGGATCGGCAGGGGGTTAACCGTTTCCATCACTTACAATGTAGAATTGATGGAGATTAGATTGTTGATACATGAGTCAGTTTCACTATCTGATGTGCCTGTCCGATTAATACTGCAGCTCAAGTTCTGTTGGGGTGGAGTTTGTTGTTGAATGCGACGGTGTAGCAGGGGTATGATCAGTGTACTGTACTGTCATATTTCGCTGTTTGCTGTTCAATCTTATGACACTTTCTGGAGGTTTCTTCGACCCAAGCAGGTGAGTAGTCGGGAGAAAAGGACTGGTACAAGATGAGAGGTGGCTACAGCCATATTCTTTGGCTATCATAATCGTTCGAATAGGTACGAAGTCACTTCGCTGATAATATGTTAGGCCTGCATACATAATGGATCTAGCCGCTATTTCAGTGTTACTTTATATTTCACGAAGTCGCATACTTTCCATCATAGCTAATGCATGTATGCCATTCACACATCCTAATGACCAGTTTTGAGATATATGACTATAGTGAAAGCTGGTTTAGTGACTATTTGTGTGTTCAGTGAGGTTTCAATCTGTTACTGCCAGCAATCTCGCGTTGTTATTGCCTAGTAGGAAAGTGATTCATCTGGTGAAGCATGAAATCACGGCAAGTTCCGGCTGCACTCGTTCGTTTGCATTCACCACTCGTTTGCTTTCACTGACGTCCCGACTTCCTTCTCACCTCTACTAAATGAAATCTTCCTCCTCCTCCCATCTTCGCCCTCGCTCTCATTCAAGTCCTCGTTCATCCACATATTCAGTCATTGCGTAACAAGTCACACCGACCTCATACCTTAACCCAAACCGACCAACAAGATGGAATGCCATGACCCCTCACGCGTTCCTAAATACATGAAATACCTGGAGGAACAGAGGGAAATCCTAAAGTATGCCAAATCTCGCAGGGGCCAGCCAGTCGAACTGACAAAGTCCCGCGACGAGATAATAAACCAGTTTATTTATCGCTACTTGACGGAGACTACTACACCGGTGGACAAGAATGCGATTCGCACCTCATTTATCCCTCCTGCATACCCACCCTCTATTGCGGCTCTGGGAGATTTGAAGAAGATTCTCATCAAGGATCTCACCATCGAGACTCATCATCGCGGCTGTTACATCCTCTTGAGAGCAGTCACTCCTTCGTTTAGGAAGACAGGAATTGTGACCGTTGTGGAAGATGAGGGAGGAGACGTTCTTGCATTGCAGCTGTATAACCAGGATAGGGATCTCGTAACAGATGGGCGGCTTGTCGATGGAATTATCATGCTTGTAAAGGAGCCTTATCTGAAAGTCATGGGCGATGGAGATTGTGGACTGCGGGTCGACCATCTTTCTGATTTCAAGTTCATCCTGGAGGATGACTCCTTGGTGCCCTCAATCTGGAGAGATGAGTCAGAAAATGGTTTCTCTGCTAACTCCTGGAAAACAACGGGCAATGATCTCTACAATGAGAAGGACTATCATCTTGCTATAAACTGGTACGTATTAACCTGAAACTGATAAAACAATGACGTAACGCTAACGAAGGTACAGTTATTCCAAGGCTCTGAATTGTTCCACAACTCCCCAGGAAGAGCTTACCGTAAGGCTTAATCGTGCTCAGGCATTCCTCAAAACCCATCAGTTCGACGCGGCCCTGCGCGATGTCGAGCACATCCTATCCAAGGATAGATCTGCTGAGAAAGCATTGTTCCGTAAAGCTCAGGCCCTTTACTATCTTCAGAGATTTCGAGAGTGCTGTGATGTTTACGTAGATCTTTGCAAGGCCTATCCAAACAATGCCACCGCTAAAAGCGAGTTTGCACGGGCTGCAGCGCGACTCACAGAGCAGCAGACTGGCAAGTATCCATTCAAAGAAATGCAGGAGGCAACAAAACTCAAACCCCCACATTTGGACCACGCAACGTATGTTGGCCCTGTTGAGGTGAGGCCCTCTACCCATGGACGTGGTTTGTTTACAACACAGGCGGTCCGTGCCGGTGACCTACTTCTTTGTGAAAAGGCCTTTGCGTATGCTTTCCATGAAGAGGGTGATATGACCAACGTTTCAATATTGGTGTACGCCGATACAGACAGTATGAAAGTAGGTACCCAAGCCGAACTGAATAGTCTCATCGTACGAAAGCTGCACAACAACCCATCGTTCATTCCGACATTTAATGATCTGTACCATGGCTCATATACTTCTGTGGGTGTCTCTGAGGTGGACGGTTCACCCGTCGTTGATACGTAAGTATTACTTCTCATGCGCGAACAACATGAGATTTACTGACATTTCCAGTTATCTGGCTGAGCGAGTAATGTCACTTAATGGTTTTGGCTGCTCAGTCACCTCACGTACAGCCCACATATGCAGAATTAATGCAGACAATGGGGATCTTGACACCGATAATGAACGATTTGATTCCAGTGGAATCTGGCGTCTCGCATCTTACGTAAATCACTGCTGTTATCCGAACTCATACCGTGCATTCATCGGAGATATGATGGTACTTCGCGCTACACAGGATCTTCCCGCAAACACAGAGCTCAAATTCTTTTATCGAACACCCGTGGATGACGGTACAGCAGAAAACGTATATCAGCAATATTGGGGATTCGAGTGTGACTGCGCTATTTGTCATGATGTGCGCGAAACAGGGGAAGCTGGTTTGGCGAAGCGACGAGAACTCATGGCTGCTTCGGACTCGTCCATGAATTACATAGCTAACGCCTACAAATCCTCGTTCAGTCTTCAAGAGCAGACTGCTGCAATCACCATGACAGAAGCCGCTATTGCTATGATTGAGCAAACGTATCGGCGATCACCTTTGGAAGTGCCTCGTCTTGGGACCTGTAAAACAGGACTGTTTTTGGCAGAAGTGCATGCTACCCATGGTCGTTGGCGGAAAGCTATTGGATATGCTATCAGAACGCTGGAATCCCTCGGCTACGTGATTGAAGGCTGGCAAACTCCGTATAAAAAAGGTAGGCAGTTGCGTGTCACGCAATGGGGACTGGCAATGGACGTGCTTGTTCGGTGTTGGATGATCCTTTGCTGCACTTATGGCGAGGTGGCACCTGAGCTTGCTGACCACGCTGAATATTACGCTAGAATGACGTACAAAATATGCATTGGTGAGGACGAGACATTTGGGGATACCTATAATCGGTACTGCGGCCGAGTCGATGGAATGGTCGTGCACAGCAGTTGAGTCCACAAGATTTGTGCTCTTGTTACAGTTGGTGTTTTCCGCTTTTTTTTTTCTCCATATCGCTTTCCTACAATCGCTTTTGCCATCGCGTTAGCCTTTCTATAAGATTGAATATGATCTCCATAAAATTGAAATTTTATAATGGATGACCCACTGTACATATGTAACTTCGGCTAGAACTGCCGTTAGTGTACTACATAAACATATCGATAAGCCGTAGAAACCTTCGGTATCGAGCCAGGGTGCCTCTTCGTCGCACACTCGACTCTACACTCTTTTCATTACTAAAAAGGCAATTCATCACGAAGTCTACATCAGTCAACGCCAAGCTTCATCGAAGCCTGACAGGTAAAGAGAAAATGGACCAAGGACGGAGAGGATTAAAGACAAACCAGGCGACTCTCTTGGATGCTTCAATGCACGAGGGGCCAATTTGGCCTCTTCACGTAACTGGTTTGGGGCAGGAAGATCGATATACATCAATGAACACATGGCAGGACGAGTGACGCTTGAGTCCTTGGAATTTAGAACTGTATTGATATATATCCACTCCACTAATTCCATCCATTCGGTTATCCCGAAAAAGGCTCGCAGCTGAGACACTACTGCCTCAGGCATCAGTCAGTGGCCTTGGGCCGTAGCCATAGAATTTACATGGAATTTTAAATTCCATCTCCCTAAAGCATCACTTACGACCTACCCCCCTGAGGTCAGTAATTGACGAGATATCCCACAGGTTAATGCTGACGCCTAACGACATCCAGTAATATCGTTAGGTAAACCCGGGAATCCGCATGAACGCTGAAACATACCCTGTCAGATCCTACAGGGATCAGAACCTCGCTACTAATTGCGCTACACAAGATGACTCATTACCAAAGCACACAACATGAGCTAGGTAATTGGACTTTTTCGTGGGCCGAGGAGCTCACAAGGCTGACACAAGGACACGCAGATCGTGCTCTGCCCTCTGTCATCCATCATTCATCATTGAGGGAACACAACCTCACTTACCCAATTTAATTGAAACCGTCCTGTTTTGATCTTTTGAACTCCTTTATATATTGAAAGTTTTGGAACAGAGGAACCATGGCTCTTTCTATAGGGAACGCTAACCTTTCTCTGACGGAGCATTTGAGTGCGCCACCTAAAGCATCACTGCAAATACTCGGGACACATAATGTCAATGAAGATAACAATATTATTGATTTTGATATTTGGGTCGACTGCTCGAAAACAGTCGGTATAAGATCGGCCAAGTTCCTGACAGAAAATGATGTGGAATCTCGCTGTTGGAGCTACTCCGCTGACTGCGATAACGGTGACCCCAGAGATATATTGGGCGGATGGCTTGATGACTGGTTAAACTATGATGATGCAGACGATCAAAGGTCAGTTCTTCTGGATCACTCGGTCCAATTGCCTCGTTTTATACTGACAGACTCATGTCGTTTTTCAGCTGGACTCTTCACAAATCGGGTCATTTTCTGAATGGGGATTGCACTGCTCTCAGAACTCATATCGAGCGCCTGGCACAGAAGACCGCCTACGGCGGTTCTGTCGAGGTGTCGTTCCATACACCCTCAATACAATCGGAAGCAAGAAATAATGCCTCAGCCGAGAACGGACACATTGCACAAGTCTTTCTGGAGTGGGCCTTTGAGTGCCCCTTCACCCCAACCGATAAGGTATGGAGTGAGCTGGTCATGAACGCGATGGTGGACCATAAGAAGGGCTGGATAGAGCCAGACGTACCGAGGCCTTCGCACGGGATGTCTCCTCTTCGGAGGGCAATGAGAGACAATGGTACTTCGCGTGTTGTATCGCGGGATCAGAATGCGAATGGGGTAACGCACTCAATCAGGCAGTTCTCTTCCTGGGGTGGTGACAGTTCCGCGTGAAGAGGTGGATGCTTGCATTACCAGTGTTAATATGGCACAGCAATGTGCTCTGGTTTTCCTTAGTTGGCCTTACTATATTATTGTTGGGTTTAAATCGTGGTTCCAGGCCATTCATTGTTGATAGGTAGATTTGGTTATTGCAAGGTTCAACTGTCGAGCGAAGATATGTCCTGGTGAGTCTCCCGCCAAGGAGGTCGTACCATAGGATATAGCCTGGGGCGAGCAACACACATTCATGATCACCCAACCACTGCTGGAGAATATGAGCTTGCTCATTTATATCTCATATGTACGCACATCCAATAGGGTTTGCGGTTTGTTGTATCCGTGGTTGAGGTCGGGTCCCCACAACCGATGAGATCATAGACTCTGGCGGACTGTATATACGGGCCGGGATGAAAAGCGGAACATGAAACCAATCCTATCTTCATATGCGCATTTTGCGACTCATCTACATTTACATTTCCTGTGTCGTACACCACCTCTCATATTGAGTCGCCCATCATGCATGATTACCTTGGCCATCCTCTGGGGCTAGCGGGTTGGTTTGCTCGGACGATCCAAGCCATCAGCTCGATCATAGTCCTGGGAATTACAGCCTGGGCTGTGAGTGAGGACAACAAGACTCTCAGTGTTATTTTCTCACTTGTCATTGTAAGTGGTCTGTTGAGGTACATTTTTTTGAAAGGTCTTATTCTCACCTTGGTACAGGCTACAACGAGTCTGGTCGTCATAGCTGTAGCTGTAGGCATCAGCTGCTTAGCACGTCGTGCCAAGTGGCACATTATCCCACTACTTGTCACCGATGCAATCATATCCTACCTGTAAGTAGTATTATGATGCTAGAGCTAGGCCAGTTGAGGGTCAATGCTGATCACTATAGGTGGCTCACCTCGTTCATCCTGCTCGCTCTGAACTTCAACCGCAGGACCTGTCGCGTGAACCGCTGGATTGGAGAAGTATCTTGCTCCCGAAGCTATACTGCCGAGGCATTTAGTTTCATTGCATTGTAAGTGGCTCGAAATCGTCCGGTGAATCCTCATTGCTGACTCGTTACAGTTTCACTACTCTCATGGGCCTATTCTTGGAGACCGCCTACATTTACTGGGCGAAGCCTGATAGTGTGCCCCAAACAGAAAAACGGCTACATCAAGAACGCCTTTCTGAGAATCTCAATGCGGCTGGCTTGACATAAGGGGTAACTTACAAGTGCCTATCGGCGAAGTCTCGTGCAGCGGCTGCCCGACACCACTTCATCATGATATTTATCACTACTACATTTATGTCCTTGAACCATGATTGACATATTGAATGTTTGCTAGGCACTGGACTTTATGGTCCGGTCAATTCGCTCTCTCTGATATGCTGTTAGCCTCCTCGGCTGTTTTGCCACGCTCGCTTCCCATTGCACATTGATTGTAACTTCACATTCGGTATGAGAAGATATCATCTATTTGATCGGAAACAAACCCAGTTCACTGCAAAGTAGACACATACCCAGGTACTCTTAAATACACCCACTTTCCACTATGTAGTCATAGTAATCCTTTGGAAGTTGTCCATTCACTTAGCTATTCATCCCCACGGCGAATGGCACTATACTACTCGGATGAGCTCCTCTTTCGTTGAGTCTCTACCTCGAGATCATCAGTATATTTCAGAACCTAAACCACTCGGACGGTTAAAAGATTCCTCACCAGAGATCGAAGCGACAGTATCCTTGAGCGGCATCAATGCTCAGTTCACAGTATGTGCAACAGTCTTTACAGCCTTCCCATGTGCAGCAGTATTCACCCACCGCGCTACAAGAATAATCTCGCTGTTCTAGTGGAATACTTGCTGCAGCAACATAGCCAGCGAAGGCAGAGATTGCGATAAAGAGGGAGAATTTCATATTGAAATCCTTTTAGATTGCACGGTTCAAAAGAAGAAACGAGGACCAGCAAGATGTTCTCGAGGAGTGAATTATAAATTCAGGATGGTTAGAGATTCGATCTTGATACATCATTGCCCTTCTTTATACCTTTCGATGTTCGTTTAATGAGCCAAAACCAACAAAAGCAAAGTTGTTGAGCGGTGTGATCAACGTACATCTGACCCAAATCCCGAGGGACGGTGATCCGTGCATTACTCTCCAGCCTAACAGGGAATAGTTTTTTTAATGATCGGCAATGAGCTGAAAGTGACTTGTTCTTACTCACGAGTAGGAAGAGTAGGTATGAACAGACCGATGCATTGCATATCCTCAGCCGCATAAGAGACCGAGCTAGTCTGGATTGAGATGTAAATCCCAAAAAGGAACCACAGCGGACACTGTTTTCCTCCAATCAAAACATCATGCTTATGGCACTCAGATCCCGAATCTCTGGCCTCTTCCGAGCCGTCCGGTCCACGACTGACCCAGCCATGATCATGGACTTTTCCAACAACAGGGAACCCACCTGGCTAATACCTACCAGTCAATCCATGAGAACCAATCAGTAGATGAGTGAGGCTGGAGATAGCATCAAGATTGGGCACTCATCATTTGTCCTCATTGTCGGATAGGACAGGGCTGCATAGATCATGGCCAGATGAAATGCAGATCTCTTCGTTGAGATCAGAAGTAATCACACGGTTACACTCATAACCTTATGGGTCACTGTCAGAGGGTCTATAGACAAAGCATTCTGTAATGAAATATCTCAAACTAAGAATACATTAATACACCCTGCATATCACGCAATTCTTCATCTGAGGTCCCCTCTCCGATCTCATGAGTCTTCCCGTTCCCGTGGAACCAAACAAGTCCTTCTCCATACCTCACTTCATTGCTTTTTCAAAGTTGCTTTTTCTGAGTTGCTGCGCGCTCAACGCAGCACTGAGTCACTGCGTGGGGTATGTGCACCACGATATTTGCGGTACCCTTTTAACCACATCTATTGTCTCATTGGTAGTGTCTGGTAACGGACATCCCCGAAACCCCTGTAGCCCTTCAAATGTATCCTTCAGCTTTACCGATAAAATATCATTAGCATCGGCCACTAACAGCGTGGTGGATCAAAGGTGGGTATTAGGTCTGAGCGGGGGTGATTACTAGTTACAGTAATGGCTCTCCGTCCTGCATTCAGCCAATGTGGACTCCCTGCAATCTTTGATCACAACAGCCTAGAGATATAGGTCGGGCAGAATTAGTATCTCCTAGTCCGTTATCGCAAACTATGGAGTAAGCATAAACGACCATAACAAACGTAGCAAACTCTACTACGTATGGACGTGAGGCGGATGACCAATACATACCTTGATAGCTCAAGAAGGCTCTTCTTCCTATCAACAGTCCAATTTACCTAGCTTCCAAGCAAACTGCCATAATGAGCAAGGCCTTGCTGGAAGTCAGCTAGCCATCCGTACGAAGAAACCACAATGCAGGCCGGGCTATCATTGAACTAAACAATAAGCAACGCAAGGGCAGATCCTATGAAATCTTACTTTAAACCACTTCAACCCCGCACGCTTAACCTGTTATCGCAATCGCCCCTTCAGGGGATAATTGGCCATTCTCAATGATACACGAGGAAGGATCGTCCAGTGCATACCTTGCTCTCTGGGCATCACACACACCCCAGTCAAGAAGCAAACATGTCCATCATCAATGCGGGCGTGGACAGCCGTACCAATGTCAGGCGCACATAAGAAACCCCAATCACCCCATCTATGCTTCCCCTTCATCGAGACTTCGGTAATAATCTACTCACCCATATCTGCCTACTACATCTATATTGATCTATATCCATCCCCAAGATGAAGTTCATCAGTCTTTTCACATTCACCACTGCCATTGGAATGGTGACTGCGGCTCGCGTTCCGATAGGTGACCGCCAATTCCTTCCTCCTCAAGGTGGTGAGTGATTTCCTCTTTCTCATCACCAAGATCGTGTTAGCTAACTGGAGTGTAGAGGGCGAGGACTGCCGAGCGCACACTGGCGAGTACTGTTGCACATGGGAAGGCTGTCGATCGTGCTGCTGGTGGGAGAAATGTGATTTGAGCATCGATGCTGCGCAGGGCAAGTGTGTGCCGAATTGGTGAGATATTAGTCGACAGGTAAGTTCATTATATAAAACAAGTACCCTCTTCTGTCAAGGCTTCAGGTCGCGGCCGCTGATGTGTTCGGTAGGAGGCAGTCTTACTTGGCAGGGGTGAAATCTCATATCGGCTATCAGGATTCGTGGGTCTTATTTGTGTCGAGGTCATGTTTGACTCAATACACTGCTATGTATGCAATGAAAGTTGAATCCGGACTGCCAATATGAATACCTTGAGTTATTACCTTTCGGCAAGGGCATCTTCTCGATAGAATGTTCTGGAGACGTCTACGATTTATTAGGTACGTCCTACATTGCGTAGTGCCGGGCTTAAGTCTGGTCGGGCTTTAACTGAGGTAATTGTGCCGTACATGCTGTGCAAGAACTAGAAACTACTGTCTTCATGCCGGCACGACTAGGTTGACGGATGGCTGGGAGATAGATCGGCAGGTCTCTTCTTTCTTTACGGTGTCGATAGATTACTAGACAATACTAAGAGTTCTGGTCTACTTCAATGTAACCTTGGCCGAATATGACTGAATGCTTCTAGTACAGTCCATGTGATGCTGAGCGGCTCGAGTATGTACTTGTGTCAAATACGTCGAAGCCCGCAGTGCTTACTGCTTTCCATAACATTTATGTGGTAGTAATTCTGAAATCCACGGAGCGAAAACGGAAGATGGATCTTTACTACTATTTTTATGGAAGCTAAACAGCAGGAGGATCATGGTAAGATCTAGCAAGCAATGGTGGCTGTTTACGCTGTTATGCCTCACAAATCTGTGTTTCTTGATGGGGCGAGATTTCATCAGCAGACGATACTATTGGCCCGAGCGTGAAACAAGAGCAGCACTATGCCTGTCATGGGAAAGCGCGGGTAGCTGCCTAAGATAATCTATTCTTGGCACTGCTCGTATATTTCGAAGGATTGCCAAGCATCCTGCCAGATTCCCAGAACTTGAAATCAGGGCCAGAATATGCTCTTATTTGTCTGTTTTGCAGAGATGAAACTGGTTTACTGTATGTTATTATTAGTTGCATGTCTGCCTGATTATGAGGCTCTGTCGGGTGCTCAATGAGGTGTATATAGACCTAGATCGTGCCGCATGTCGGCCAATATCCTATTAGACATAGAAAACAAACGTCTCAATCAACAGAAGTTTGAAGATCGTGAGAAGTCTCGCTACTTTGTCACCATGAGCACAACGATTGCTTCAATTTCTACGACAACCAGTGCTCTGGCCTCAACCCAAACATGCACCAATCCCAAACCAGGGAAGAATGGCTACCTCCCTCCAGAGGCTTGTGACGATATCCTCCTCTACGTTCCCTCTTTAGCGGCGGCAGTACTATTCTGTGTTCTATACGGCCTAACCCTCATATGCCACGGGATACAAGCATTCCTCTACAGAAAGGTACACACGAGTTCCTCATACAAACCCTCACTCCAACCGACTAACAACCACCATCAGCGCTACGCCTGGGTCATCATGATGGGCGCAACATGGGAACTAATCGCATTCACATTCCGCGCCCTTCTCACTCGACAACAAAACAACTCCAACTACGACACCGTCTACACCATCATGTTCCTCCTCGCTCCTCTCTGTCCGTCTCCCTCCTCCCATTCCTCCACTCTACATCACCCACTAACTAACCTCAGGGATCAACGCCTTCCTCTACATGACCCTCGGCCGCCTCATCTACTTCTTCACCCCAGACCAGAAACTCGCCGGCATCACAGCCCGCCGCTACGGCCGACTCTTCGTCTGGCTCGACATATTCGCCTTCCTCGTGCAACTCGGCGGCGCAGCCATCACCACCCAGACAGATGTACCGACCAGCACGATCATGTTAGGCGTGCATATCTACATGGGTGGAATCGGGCTACAGGAACTATTTGTCCTGATCTTCACCGGCTTGATCATCCATCTCCATCGAAAGCTCATCCACCTCGAGCAGGCAGGGATATTGACTCCAGGCAGTATGGCAGGCATGAACATGAGCACGAGCAGGAACAAGCCTATGCCATGGCGGTGGCTATTCTACGTGATGTACACTGCATTGGGGATGATCACCGTACGTCCTACCCCATCCACCTTGCCGGTTCCAGGGAGAACAACTGAACACTAATGAATATGGCCCGGGGAAACAGATCCGAATCATCTTCCGACTCTGCCAATACGCGCAAGGCACAGACCCGAGTAACCCCGTACTCACCCACGAAGCATACGAGTATGTCTTTGATGCGGTGCCGATGTTCATTGCGCTGGTGTTGTTGAATGTGGTTCATCCGGGGCGGGTGTTGCAGGGGCCGGAGTCGGAGTTTCCCAGGGTGAGTAGGGCGGAGAAGAAGAGGTTGAAGAGGGAGAAGAAGCAGGCGAAGAGAGAGAGGAAGGAGACAAAGAGGGTGGAGAAGGAGATGAGGAAGGGAGGTCAGAGTGGGTGGTGGTGGAAGAGGAGGAGGGAGAGGGGGAGTGAGACGTTTGAGATTCTCCCGGTGCAGGAGGGGGTGGAGGGGAGGGCTTAGTTTATGTTGGACATTCTCTGCTATGTGTTATGTAGAAGTAGATTTGACTTTAGCATGTAGTGATAGCTATAGAATGATTTGAGATATACAATCATCGTGATGAGCCGCGACAGGGTCTCGGCCATTTTATCGACATAAGAATATCGAGTGACATAGAGTATGGTGAGCAAACCAGGGAGTTACATAGCAACCATTCCAAAATCTATGTACACAATGCAGAATATTCACAGTCTATATCAATCATAATTCTCACATGAATGTGGTCCACACTCGCAGGTACAATATTCTGTTGCAGGTCGAGATTGAAATCATCACAATCCCTACCCCTCATACCATCCTCAATCAAGTAGCATAATTCGCTGCCAACACCAGAATATCCTCCAGACTCTCTGCACACTCTAGGCCATACGACATGGACAACCTCTCCAACGTCGGCGAAGTAACCCCCACCGGAGTCTGCACCTGTGCACTCCTCTCACTCGACCCCCGATCCACAGGCGGCCAACCCTGACTCCCATCCCGCGAAGCTGTTCGACTCCTCTGCCAGCGACCCTTCTCACAGAAACTCCGAATCACTCCCACCAGATCGAAGTCCCGATCCGCGTCCTGCTCTGGTGACGGTAGATGCTTGGGACTACTCCGGTCGCGCTCTCTCGCTAGTAATGCCTCTAAGAGATGCACGCCCCGTCGGGCGATCATGTTCGATTCATTGTGCGAGAGGATGTCCAGGCCGTCGTTGATGAGTTGGCGGTGGTAGGTTGTTTCTGGGTCTGAGGTGGTGCGGTGGAAAAGGTCGAGACATAATATTATCTGTTTTTATTAGCCAATTACGAAGTAGGAGGGTGGAAAGTGAATGCATACGCTAGCAGCAACACTAAAGGCTTGGTGGATCCAGAGCACCGGGCCCCCGTCATGGATGGCTTCTTTCTGCTCCTTGATGATTGTCCGTGCGGCAGCAACACACGTGCGACGTGTCCTAGCGAACACAGGGTTTGTGAAACTTAACTCGAGGAACTTTCGATGGATCATGATGATCTTATGCGATGAGCTGATCGCCAGGCTACGTCTCGCCCAGAGGACATATCTCGGCCACTCCGGGTGCTCCTCGACAGGTACATTCCTCAAGTACAGTGGAAGACCCTGTGTGGCTAAGCTGCGCAACTTACGATCGTGTTCCAAAACCTTCTCATATCGCGTATACAGGGTATTCGAAGCAGCCATGCTATCCTGTAGCGAAGGCATAAGCGCCGCGACTTGGTAAAAGAACCTCGAGTATCCCGCAACACTTGGTTCATCGTCAGGTAGCTTCAGCATGTCCTCATCGCGGCAGTTCCGCGGGCGGGCAGTATTCAGGCACGTCCGTGGGATGAGATAGCTCTCTGAGAAGGGAATGGAGAACCAGTCTTGGATGCAGAGCTGGCACCAGGCACGACGACCAATTTCGCGATCAATCATGGCCGGCGAGGGTTCTGTTTCACGTTCCGAGCCGAGACGGTGTAGTCCCAGGCCCTGGGCAATACGAGTAGCGGCTGCGAGCAGGACAGAGAGGCTATTAGAAAAGCCGAGGAGATGAGCCGACATGGTTAGTGTTGCGATGGCCTGGACGGCATATAGGGAGTGGATGGCGGTAAAGTCGGCGTGATGTAGACACGTCGAGACTGCTTTGAACCATCGCTGCGCTAGAGTGGTCTGCTCCCATTCGGAAAAGCCCCATGCCTGGGCAGTCATGCGAGGAGCGCAGGCGAGGGCGCCGGTAAGGACAGAGAAGAGAAGAGCGACCCATTGCAAGTCGACGCGGGGATGGGCGATATGACCATTAGCGAAGCGGAAGAAGTCGTCGAGTTCGTCTTGTAGACGAAGGGAGTGAAAGGAGCCGTGATACCAAAGCACGCAGTCGCAATGGTAGGAGACGAGCTGCTGCATGAGCTCGCGATCTGGGAGGAGGAGCTGGAGATACGCCAGAGCGGAGGAAACTTCGGGGTTCCGGTCATCGCCGCTGCCTTCGGCCGTCACGTCGCCAGGGGAATGATGCTCGACACCATCTTTACGGGCTAGCATATCGTGATAGTCCGGGTTCTTCCGTCGGCCCCAGGCGAGGAACTCAAGGATGGTGGCGGCGTCCGCCATTTCACGTTCGGGGGTCTCCACCGTGTCGGAGACAGGGGTATTGCTGGCATTGGAGATGATCTCAGATTCGGGTCGAGAATTAGGTTGCAATTGTGGATCATTTGCCTCTCTCAGAGCAGCTTCCAGCTCCTGGACACGAGCTTGTAATCTCTCCACCTCATCATCGCTACCTCTGGCACGAGAACAAGTAATGCCTCTGTCTGAGTCAGCTGCTGTCGAGATTCGAATTTCGGGGAAGCTCACCTCCTCGTGCAATTGCGACAGGGAACAACTTTGTCACAGCGGATTTTGCGCCGGGTGCACTCCACACAGGCCAGGCGTCGACGGATGGAGCTCATGATGGGGAGAAAGTGGTTTGTTGTTCGGCCGGGTTGGGGTTGGACCAGTCACTGATTGATAAGGCGGGGAAACGGCCGACATCGCAGTTCCCCGCTGATAAGCTCGGCCGAGCTGACACTCTTAGCTTCATTTCGTATAACTATACCCTCAGTAACACCATCATAGCATCAGAGAATTATAGCATCATCAAACAGCAATCTGAGCTAGAAAGATGGCAACAAGATACGTCGATCGTCCTATCCCTCGCATCTCGCTGCGCGACTTCGACCAGCGCATCGACGAAATCACCGCCGAGCTCGTCAACGCCGCCGAGAACGTGGGCTTCTTCACCCTAGTTGACCATGGCATATCCGTCTCCGAAATCGAGAACATGTTCTCCACTGCAGAGCGCTTCTTCTCCCTCCCCGACGACATTAAAGCCACTGTGCCTTGGAATGCCAACAACGTAGGATGGGAGAAGAAAGCCCAGATACGGCCCTCGACGGGCCAGCCCGATACCAAAGAGTCCTACCAGCTGCAGTTTGGCGAAAACATGACCGACCTGTGGATGGACGATGCACATCTTCCTGGCTTCAAAGACACATCTCTCACATTTATGCACTACGTGCAAGAAGTCTCTGAGCGCTTGATGATCTGCTTCGCGCGGGGCCTCGGCTTCCCGGATGACTTTTTCATCAAGTGCCATGATGTATCGCGACCGAACGAACAAACCACCATGCGTCTCTTACATTACTACGCCTTACCAGACCAACCTGACGGGAAGACCTACCACCGGGCTGGAGCACACGCAGACTGGGATTTCTTGACCCTCCTATTCCAAAAGGAAGGCCAGAGCGGGCTGGAGATATGCCCCGGACGAGAGGTCGTGACAGAATTCGGCATCGGGGATAAATGGACACGAGTGGAGGCACATACTGGGGATATAGTATGTAACATTGGGGACTTGCTGATGTCGTGGTCGGACGATCGGTTCAAGTCCACGTTTCATCGCGTCAAGGCGCCGTCCGAACCAGGTGATTATTTTGGCGATCGATATAGTATCGCGTACTTCAATCAGCCGTGCAAGGACGCGTTGATCCAGGGGCCGAAGAAGAAGTATCCGCTTGTCACGGGAGAGCAGTTCAATGCCAATGCGATGAAGAGGAATTTTGCGGCGTTGCAGGAGAAGTTGAAGTTGATGGAACAGGCTGCTTGATTGCTTTTTTAACTTAACGAGACAATTACAAGTTTTTGGAGAATTTACTACCGTGTGTATGATTATTAAATTCGGTTAGTATATTTGGTAATTGTACAAACTCCTCCATAATAAATAAGGGATTAATGTACTCCAAGGTGACAATATACTAAGGCAGCACCGTATCCACCTTCTCATCCTCCTTCAACACCAGATTCAGCACCACACCCACCACCGCAGCAATAATAAACGGCGTCTCGACAATGAGATTAATCCCCTGCTCAAACCCCTGCAAATGCACATTCGGTCCGCTATACGCCAACACGGAACTAAACCAGCTCGGTGAGACGATATCCATCATGCCGATCCCCAGCGACGCAGTAAGAATGAATCTATTGCGTCGATTGAAATCAACCAGACCGAGAACGCGCGCACCAGCCACCACAATCGTGCTATACAGGAACACCTGCATTCCTCCGAGCACCGAAGGAGGCATGGATCCGAAGACAGCGCCGAATTTTCCAAAGATGCCCATCAGAAGGAGGAAGGCAGAGGCACACCATCCTGCTCGTCGGCTCTGTACCCATAAGTCAGCATTGTAGCGGCAAGGAAATAGGGATAATACGTACAGCGCATCCAGTCAACGAAATAACCCCATTATTTCCCGCCTGACTAACCATCGGGAGCCCAGTCCCTAACGCACTGATCAGACTTCCCAGTCCATCGCACAAGATTCCGCCTTGAATGCGACTATGGAACTCCCGTCCCTCGATGTCCACGCGGGAAATCTCCGCTGTAGCCAGAATGTCCGGCATGCAGCTGACAGCTTCGCACACAAACATGATAAGAAGCGGAAGAACGAGTGCCCCGTCAACGGACAACGGGAAGGTGTGCACCCAGAGAAAGGTACCCACGGGTGCAGCGTCGATCTCGTCGCGAGACCAGTAACCTGTGGCGCCGGAGATGGCGCAGCCGACTGCTAGGCCTAGGATGACTGAGGCGGATTTCATGAGTGGGGAGCCAACAAACTCGACAAATATGATGGTCGCGAAGACGCTGAAGCCGAGGCCGATGAGTTTGGGGTCGCCCCTGGACTATTAGCATTTTGAGTAAAATAGATTGGTAGGAACATACCACGGTAGCGGTCTTGAAGCATCCACATTAGGACAGAGGGCATAGTACCCAGTCCCACCATCGCAGTTTGAGCTCCCACCCCAGTTCTCCATCCCACTTGAGATAAGGTATACTCCAACTAGGAGTAGAAGACTACCCGTGACTACCTTGGGGAAGATGCGATTCAGCACCTTTGGAGGTACTAGTGACATGAGGATCTGTATCCAGACCGTACACAAACAGGTACCTAGCACGGCACCCCATGCTTCAGGACATGGGAGACGCGATCCGTTCTCGTCTGTCGGGCATGAGCCGTTGTTGTACCTGGTGTCTGCGTAGTTCATGGCAACAGCGATAACATCGAATGTGGGACCGACCACAGATAGCAGTCCTGTGCCAATGTACAATGGTCTTTTGAAGAGGTGTATCCGTGTTACCTGCAATGCTGTGGCGATGCCAGTAGTGATGAATGCTGCAGAGACAAGGTACTGTGATTGTACGGAATTCAGATAGAAGGCACCACTTGCGAGGGCTAGAGGTGGAGAAACCACCGAGCCGATCATAGTTAGGGCATGTTGCAGGCCCAAGATGATGGTTAGTAAGATTGGAACCTCATCATTGAGGCCATAGAATGGCGGTTCAGCGCCTTTGTAGCGCTTGTTGAGAGGGTAAATATTCGGTGTAATCAGGTACATGTAGTCCTGTAATGCGTTAGTAGAGCCAACGAGCAAGGTAAGTAAACACCTACATAGTCGCCGATCCAGCCATCTCTACTAGTCAGATAGTGTTTCCAGTATCCCCACTTCGATGAAGCGTGGAGAACTTCCCCAGTTGTGTGGGACGGGGACTCTTCAGTGGAGATAGGGCTAGACTTGGACTCCATAGCGGATCTCGATGAGAAGAATAGCAGTCCCATCAACTGATCCAGCAGAACTAGCTCATCTTGTATAATTTTCTATATCTCCCCGATAACGGTGCTATCAGATAACGATAAGCCATGCATGCAGGTATCGACATCGGCAAATGGCTAGCTCCTCGGCCGAGGGCTGCTTATCGTGATCGACAGTGATGGATGTCCCCACCAGAGCTACAAGAGCTCCCTCCATTCTTCTTCTGTCCTTTTCAACACCATACAGGATCAAAATGACCTCAACACCTCCTAAAGAAACATTATTTACGCACGCCACAATCATAACCATCAACCCCGACCGCACCATCATCCGCAATGGGTACCTCCTCGTGCGCGACACCCGCATCGCTGCTATCGGGGCATCTCCCGTCCCCGCCGATCTTCTCACGCCAGACATAACAACCATCGACTGCACCGGCAAGATAATCCTCCCAGGACTGATAAACATCCACGCGCATCTAGTACAGTCTCTACTACGCGGACTGGCCGAAGACCTCCCCCTTCACAACTGGCTCTGCGACGCAATCTGGCCCCTCGAGGCATCCTACGCAGACAAAGATGGCTACCATGCTTCGCGGCTCACCATCGCGGAGATGCTCAAGACGGGAACGACATGTTTCCTGGACCCAATGGTGACTTATCGAGCGGGATGGGAGAGTGTCTGTGATGCTGTAGGGGAGTTGGGCATCAGAGGGTGCTTGGTAAACACACCTATTCTTTCCACTCCATTATATTTCCCGATTAATATTAACAAGTCACTGTTGTGACAGGGCAAACTCATCAAATTCCCCGAAACCAACCGCCAACTATCCATCACCGACCCACGCGACCAGGACCTCCTCGCCATGTCAATTCCCGGCCTCCTCTCCGCCCACGAAACCCACCACGGCACGCATAATAACCGACTGCACGTGTGGGCCGCGGCTGGAACTCCCAGGGGCGCACCAGGCTCACTATACCGCGAGCTAGGAGAAACATGTGCATCGCACGGCATCTCACTTACCATGCACTGCGCCGAAGCACCCCGAGACCGAGAGATCTACCATGATGTGTACGGGTGCAGCGCGATGGAATTCATCCGGGATACGGAACTCTGCCCTAACCTTCAAGATAAGCAGAGCAAAAGTCATAATCTCGTGCTAGCACATATGGTGAACCTCGACCTTGAAACAGATTTGCCACTTCTAAGTGCAACGCATACATCGGTAGCGCATAACCCGAGCTCGAATCTGAAATTGGCATCCGGGGTGGCGCCTATACCAGCGATGTTGGGGTACGAGCACGGGATTAATGTGGGGCTAGGGACAGATGGCGCCCCGTGTTCGAATCACTACGACATGTTCCAGGAGATGCATTTAGCTGCGATTCTGCATAAGGGGGTTTGTCGCGATGCGAGGGTGGTCGGGGCGGAGACGGTGTTGGAAATGGCGACGATTAATGGAGCTAAGGCGCTGGGGTTGGAAGATGAGATTGGGAGCTTGGAGGTCGGAAAGAAGGCGGATCTGGTGGTCATAGATCCGTATGGCAGGGGAGGGGTGGGTGCTGCGCCGTGGCATTGGGAGGATGAGGATGGGGCGAGTGTTGTTACAACGGTGGTTCATGGATGTACGGGGAGGGATGTGGATCTGACGATGGTTGATGGAGAGATTTTGGTGGTGGGTGGGAAGTTGGTGTGTGGGCTGGAGGGGGACATTACTTCGCAGGCGCAGAGGGCTAGTCGGGGGGTTAGAGTGAGGTGTAGGAGCAGGATGGGGTCGGAATGATATTTTGGGTGTCTATATTTCAAATCATATATCAAAAGAGGTTTCCCTCACTTTTGTGGGCCTTCATTGAAGAAGACCACCTGCACGGTCACATCGTCTCTCACCCGCCGGGAAGCCGGGAAGCTAAAAGCAAGCCGACCAGCTATCATCTCATGATGATTGCCCCCAAGGGAATTGCGCACCAAATGCACAGCAGCATTGTCATCCTGGACTGCTGTCCGTTCCTCCACAAATTGCCAATCCACTTCATCCCAGAACCGGCTGAAGTCAAACCGCCCAGGCGACTCCAACCTGCTGCTCTTCTCACCTACCGCTGCTCCCTCCAACCACCTCCCTACCAAATCAACAGCCTGCTGACTAGACATCATATCCCACAGCCCATCCGTCGCCATGATCAGGAACGCCGGTTCTCCATCCCCAATCCTAGTACTAGTAACCACCGGCTCAGCCGTCAGATACGGCGGCGTGCAAACAGGATACCTCGGTGTCAACGGCGCCGGACCATAGAACCTCTTCTGCACATCGTTCTGAAACTCCAACGGCCATTTCCACTGGCAATCGCCAAAAGCACGCGAGACCGCAAGACCCAACACGCGGCCACCCTTGACCACCTCATCTTCACCAGGATGTTCCGCACGAAGCCTGGCAATCTCATCTTCATTCTTACCAGTCTGATCCACAGACAGAGGAACAGCCTCCCACCCCCCATCTGCTCTTCTCCTCGCCAACACCGCGCGTGAATCACCAGTACATGCAACATGCAACATGCGCGACGCAGGATCATACAACGACAGCAAAGCACACGAGCCAGCATACGCAGGAGCCAGTCTTTTGACCTTTTCCGCCAACGGCATCTCACTCTCCGACAACTCCATCGCCCCTTTGACGATCGAATCATCAAGACCCACAAACCCATCCATAATCGCCCGATGAACCGCCTCTTCACCCACATCACCTCCATTGCAACCCAACAACCCCAATCGATCCCGCACAACCCCCACCAACCTCTCCCTCAACACCTCAGCCATCTGCCCGCCCAAATGCCCATCAAACACTCCCCACGCCATCCACTGCCCCTGCCCCTGCCCGTTACTATCACTATCACTCCCACCCCACGGCGCCGCAAACCTCCCATGCACAAACCGGTCCTCGCACGGGTCATTAGACCCCACCTGCACGCCATCATACCTGCTCACGCCGGGGACAGTCCTCACGGGAAAGGAGTACGCATCGCGCGATATCAGCCGCGTGACTTCTTCCTCTGAGAGACCTGTCTCTACCACCGGTTCTTGTGTAGGTGGTATGTGAGGAAGATACGGTGCATCATTGGCTGTATCTGCATTGTTATTGTTGTGGCTAGTAGTAGTAATATCCCTATTACTACTAGTATTGGTTTTGGTGTTGGTGCTAGTGCTGAGCCACCATAATGCAGGCGCACTAATCGCACCAACTAGCGCGATGGCTCTTGTTGTATTTGATGATGGTGTGGATGTGGATGTGGATGCTCCTTTAGTGGAATAGGATTTGGAAGAGCTAGTGTGGTTGTGGCTCCAGCTCCGTGGGACTAATAAGTGGTGTTGGTGGTGACGGATAGGTGATGTTGTGGGCACGCGTACTAGTAGACGCGTTCGCGCCCCACCCAATGAGGAGGTGAACATGGGCGGCGGCACTAAGGAGATAGATAAATGGGGGCTGTGGAAGGAGCGACAAGGGTAACTAGGTATGGAAAATTAGTATGGTCTCAATTAAGGTGTAATTATATACACCACCACATACCTGCTGGAATTATTTGTCGGTCATTAACAAAACAGGTAGTTATTATCAGGTTACATTGGCTGAGTTGTGGAATCTGAGTGTCGGGGTGACATTCCAGGGATGGTCACGTGCTATTATGCTTGCGTTGTGGTCTATTCTTAGGTTTCTTTGGAGATGGTGAACGCACAGTAGTGGTGTCCGATAAAATTATTAGTCTCTGCAAAGCATAAAGTCAAACAGGCATTTGCATACAGCATATTACTACGATACTACACCCCTCTATCAGCAAACCCGTTCACGCTGCCATTCCTCTCGCTTCCGTAGCCTCAATCCATTACTCTGGTCTTCAATCAATTTATCACATCACTCCGAGGGTATCCATCCAGTAAAACACACATTACATACACCTCACGGTCTCACTTGCATGTACTTCCGCTGCATATTACGCTGTCGCCTCCTGCGACTTGGGAGCAGTCTCCGTGGTCTCTGCGTGGCGGGCTTCAATCTTTGATTCCACATCCACTTCACCGTGCTCCAACTGCTCCACCTGCCGGGTCTTCATCTTGGTCTTCCAAGCCGGTGTACCAATGTACTTGATGCCGTTGGGATCCTCAAACATCGCTTCCGTCTCTTCGAGCGTCTTTCCTGCTGTCTCCGGGAAAAGGAACAACACGTGCAAGAACATGGCGGTGTTGAACACTCCAAACATGATGTAGGTCTTCCACCGGATGTTCTCAAAGGCCGTGGGTGTAAACAGTCCCAATGCAGTGTTAAACGCCCAGTTACCTGAGGTCGACAAAGCCACTCCCTTACCACGCAGCCGCAGCGGATACAACTCAGGGGGATACGTCCAGGATACAGGACCCCAGGTAGGCGCATACGAGGCAACGAAGAGGTATGTGCAGGCAATCAAACCTTTAGCCGGAGCGCCGTGAAGACGCATCGACTCGGCCGCAACACCGTTGATGCCCCCAGGCACCACAGTACCATGAACCGCCATGATCGCACCGTTGGCATACATCAAGATGGCCATCAGAGCTGCGCCAACCAGCAATGGCATACGACGCCCCCATTTGTCCATCCAGATCAGTGCCGGGAGGGTCATAAAGACATTGATAATGTACTGAATGGAGGAGGCAAGGAGGGTGGAGTCACCGGTGTACCCAGCCATGGAGAAGAGGTAGGTGATGTAGTACACTGTCAAAGTAAACCCCTCGTTAGTTCACTGTTCCAATAGAAGACTGGACGGGAACAGGAAGACATACTCATCACATTCATGCCGGTCAGCTGAGACCAGATCTGCATGAAAAGACCGATCATCGTGCGATTGATCATCCGCGGCTTGAACAGGTCAAGGTAAGTGACATCTTTGAACTGACGTTCAAGCTCACACATGTCCCGGATATCCTGCAGCTCTAGCGCAACGAAAGGATGGCTGAGATCCCCCTTGGCGTGGACGAGAGCCAAGACCCGGTGGCAGTCCTCCCAACGATCCTTGCGCGCCAACCAGCGAGGAGACTCAGGCAGGACCATCATGCCAAGGAAAAGGAAAACAGCCGGCAGCATCTGCAGACCCCAGGGGACCCGCCAAGAAGCAGTGCTGTAGTTGTAAGACTTCTGTCCCCCGATGAAGGAGCAGCCGTAGGAGATACTGTCGCTATTAGTTTGGCCCGAGATATATCCTAACGAGTTCACTCACTAGAACATGATGAGAATACCCCATGTAATGGCCCATTGCTGCATGCCTACAAACCGACCACGCTTGGAGGGTGGCGAGAGTTCACTGATGTAGACGGGGACCTGAGCAGATTCTATGCCCACAGCGAGACCGTTGATGACCCGCCCAACAACCAGCATGCCAATGTTCTGAGAAGCGCACATAATAGTGGAACCGATCAGCCTAGATATTGCGGCAGGGTTAGTAACCATCACCACTGGCCTCAGAGCCTGACCTACCAAACGATGCAGCCGACCATGATGGACGTCTTACGTCCAATGCGGTCGGAAAGCGGACCTGAAATCAAGGCACCCAGCCAAGATCCAGCTGCCATGGCGGCCGTGATGCCACCTTGGTTGAGGGATGTGGGACCGGAACAGTCCTCATCGTCAGTAAAAGGGGGTCCCTTAGGGCCCTGGTTAAAATAGCACAGATAGGAATTCTCGCTCAGCTGAGCGGACATGGAGGAGATATCAAAGCCAAACAAGCCGCCGCCGACGACGGCGACGCTCGCAATCACGTAGATGTTGCCGATCAACATGATTGCGGCTGTTGATCAACAACGAGACTTGGCTGCTCCGGGAAAAGAAGGGGAAAGAGAGAGTCGCAACGCTGGGAAGAGTGGTGGTAGCTTAATATATACTACCGACTCATCCATGCGTCAGCCGCGAGTCATCTCCGGGGGTAAAGAGCGAACCCCGCATCATGAGCGGAAAATTGTCTGGTCAGAGCTGCGTCTAGAGTTGGGGATTGGACCAATCGTGCCACCGGTCAGGAAGGTACCGTTGTATGTGGTCGGGCCACCCATCACCCCAGCCAGCCCATCGGCATGTCTCGTGGCGGAAGTAACGAATCGATGATTGGAGGGCGAAGTCCAGTGATGATCCGACGAACCTAGCTCAAGGCATGAAAGGGATCAAGATCCCCGTCCACGCACGGCTTGAAACCCTGTGTGGGAAGACAGAAAGGTTTAGCGGCAGGTTGGGCTAATTTGCAAGGACCAACCCTGGAGGGGGAGTTGATGGGTGTCAGCAGGGATCAATGGAAGGATTCGCGAGAAAGTATGAGAAGCTGAGCGGACGAGTAAAAGCCACGGCTTGGTCTCTCCCTGATAGCTCCACTTGGATCACCACTCAAATCCCACTTGAGGAGAATGGGCACCACTAAGATGCGCCAAGGGTCAGCCACATGGAAGAAGCTTGTTGATGGTGATGTCGGAGGAGGCGCAAGGACCCGAGCAGCGCAGAGGGAGGCCAGGCCAAGCGGCAACCTGGCTAAGGTGAAGCTTTTTCATTGTCGCCAACGACCGATGCATGGCGCCCTGGAACCATAGCAAATACTATGGATGGTGAAAGCTGGAGATGAAGGGGAAACGCGGGCAGAGAAGCAGGGAATCTCCTATTCTTCCCCGCATCTCGGGGAACCCCAGAAGTTTACCTGCCAACTAGTGCCCCTGACGGTAATTTACACTGGCGTCGTCCAGTATTCTGTATGGTATTGTCACGAGCCGGACTGGTGCCACCTCAACGCCCCTCCCGGATCTGTTGATTTTAGGAGTTCCTGCAGGAGTTGAGCATCACTTCCTCTTTCTTGATAGATATACTGTGTACCCTACTGCGGCTCCCCACTGGGTTCGTACTTGTAAAGTCGTGCAACCCATATCTCAGGCTGAAGTACAGAGAACAAGCCTCATGGTGCAACATCTCAGTAAGTCTATGTATGGTCAGGATAGAGAGAGACTATCTATCCAACATCTCTCAAAAACCCACCCCCATCAGGTAAGAAAGTAGGTGCTGACAGTGGTGGCTGGAAAACAGCAACTGCAAACAGCACCGCTCAGGTCTGTGTCCACTTTTCATCTATTCTCTGTCAACTAACAAAAGGACTTAGCATATGCTGTGTTAGTTTGGTATTACATGGACCAGTGTTGAAGGTAAGCGCTGTGGATGCGTTTTACCGGTTACTTACATCGCTTCTGGTAATAATTCAGCCTGTTACATCTATCGGTAAGACTGGGGACGGTCGACAGCTATAGCTCAAGCCCCGGAAATTAGTTCGCGTGCACCGTCTGACACAACAAAAAGAATTGAGATCAGCAAGGATGATACCAGTTATGACTCGGACATGACCTGTCCGATGACTAAAAATTGAAACCCCCGTGGCACGGACCTGAAGCGTCCAATGCTGAACCCTCGGTGTCTCATTATGCCGTGGGATCCGATCCCAGCTCATCGCATGAGGGTAGGATTCAAGTCTTGGCATATCACAAGATCGGATTTGCCAGCGAATGGCACTTGGTTTTCCTGTGGCTAAATGCCCGATGCTTGGCTAGTCTGCGCAGGAATTGAAGTCGTGATTGCACCACTTGACAGCCAAGCCATATCCTCGCCAGACGTCGAACTCCCTTTTCGGGAAAATTTCCGATGTCATCGCATCTTGCTGCTACCACGTGTTGCTCGCCAGAGGCACATTTACCACGTTGGTCGGAAAGCGCTCCGAAGGCGTGTTCCAAGTTCATGTCTGATTCGTTCTTGGAAGCCAATCAGTTATATGCATGCGGGTTGGCCTTTCTGGACAGTGTTGGGTCTCTTGGTGTGAGAGGATCGTAAGGCTGGCCAAGTTGTCTCCCTGACTATAGCTTGGTTTCTCCAGCAGGCTTCAGGTCTCTTTTACTACCTTGGATATTAGTTCATGTTGCCTGGGAAGCATAGCGCTGTGATTCCGTGGATATGTAGTATGAAAAGTAGGGCTCATTTACCTGTTTATACGTCCTCCATATGAATATATTTGCCCCCCCCACCGATCATGTAGATGGTACATCTGACTTTATAGTTTGCGATATGCAATGCTAAGTAACTGTGACTTTTGTAGTGTTACCATACATTGGTAACAGGTACACCGTCCCGTTCATAGATCGACATCACGGGATCACGAGAAATACGAACTCCTACTCACCACCTCACCTTCCCATCATCTAATCTCGAAGTAAAACTCATCAAATTGGTCTATCACAGCGCTTCTATTCATATGCAAATGGATATCAAACGATATACCCAACCATGCTATTTTTAGACAAAAACATCATCAATTCGTCGACGAAGAATTGGTCCTCTTGGACGCCGCATCATACAGACCTTGGATATCATCCTTCCATTGAGTCTCGTTCACCCGCTTGACGCGCCGATCGTATGTCATCAATCCATTTACTTCACCCTCAACATCAACCGTTTGAGTCCATACCCCAACACTGCAAGCGTACAGGCGGACCTGGTCCTGCAGCTCGGACAGCAGAAGGTGGCTGCGGTAGTTCCAAGCATCCACGTCCGTGTCAATTTCATATGTCTCATTGATGCTGTTGATCGCTTCTTGGTTGTTCCAAAGGCTGTGGCTGATTAGTCTCATTCCAGCATCTAGAGTCCGACTTGTCAACTTACTGTTCGATCGAAACGTTGTTCCCAAGTCCTCCAAACTCTCCTTGGATACCAATCCGGTTGGAGTCATACGGGCTGGAGTCAATAGAATAAAACGGAGTGCCGCACTGGGGGTTCGCATAGTGGTGGTTATCCTGAATTGGTTAATCTAGAGTTTCGAGATCACAGCGGGTGTGGCTTACGCTAAAGTCGCCGGCGCCGTGGTCATGCCAGCCAGATGTCGCATCAACCAGTCTAGTGGGGTCAAGCTGCTTCACAATCGACGTCAGGTTGAACTCGGGATAGTAGCTAGTAATCTGTCCCCATCCTTCGTTGTAAATCACCTATGCAGACATAAAGGTCAGTCACGAACAGCGGAACTCATTCGAGGAGTCACTTACCCAAGCAAAGATACTAGGATAGCTCTTGAGCTGATTAACCAGCACCTCCAGTTGCCTACCGAATTCATTTTGCTGGTCCGCGTCGGGCAATATAGTTACAGACACGCCGTTGGCATCAACTGTGGTCTCCAGCGGCCGAAGAGATGGCATATCCTGAATAACCAGGAGACCCATTTCGTCACATGCACGGTACCAGAGCGCTGGCTCAACTTTGATCTGGTACCCAATTAGCCCTGCTCGGAATCGCGGTGTTGCTTTACTTACATGCTTGCGGACCATATTGAAGCCCATGTCTTTGAGGAACTTCAGGTCATAGACCATCGCTTCACGGTTCGGGGGAGTGTAGAGTCCGTCTGGCCAGTATCCCTGATCAAGTGTACCAAAGATGAAGCTGAAGTTTCCGTTCAACAGAGGCCGGACAACACCATCCACAGTACCCTTCGAGATTGTGCGGAAGCCAGTGTAACTCGAGATCTTATCTTGCCCCATGGTGACTGTCACATTGTACAGATTGGGCGAGTCCGGAGACCAAAGCTTGGGATCGGAAACATTGAACAGAAGAGGCTGATCGGATAAGCCGCTGGCAGATCCGACCACGTCGTCGCCATCTAAGACAGAGATGTTTACTGTCGTGCCATTGCCCGTGAAACTGTGCACGGTGGCATTGACTACATTGTTCTGTTAACGGCAAAAACCAAGCAGGCAAAACATGGGAAAAGTACACACCTTGGCCGTTCATGTCAGCGGTAAGATCAAGTTGCGTCACATAGTTTGCCGGGGCAGTTTCAATCCAGACGCTCTGCCAAATACCACTGCAGGGAGTGTAGAAGATATGCGACGGGATTAATCGCTGCTTGCCGATAGGGATGACATAGCCATCGCTATCGGTCGGGTCATGCACGAAAACAAGCCTGTTGCGGTCAGCCTATATTTTTCGTATGATTGCTACTCAATACTAACATTTCGTTAGACGCCGATGTGTCGACATATTGGGTAATGTCGACGGTAAATTCAAAGTAACCACCGCGGTTGAAACCCGCCTGCTTTCCGTTGATAAAGACGGTAGCTTCATAGTCTACAGCTCCGAAGTTGAGGAGAATGCTCTCTCCACCCCAGGAATTCGGAACTGTGAAGTTGGTCCTGAACCAAGAATAGAGCGTGTTTGTTGCTTGAATGCCTGTCTGGGATTAGCACAGCTGCGGCTTTCAAAGGCAAGATATACTTACCAGAGAGTCCACTTTCGAGGCACGAAGGGATCAGGACCTCTTGAGCGAGATCTTGACCGAAAGGCGGGTATTGGCTGTCATTCAGGCTGGAAACACTCTGATACTGCCAGATACCATTCAAATTCTGCCACTGACTCCTCGCCATCTGTGGACGGGGGTATTCGGGCCACGGATTTGTCCCGACATCCTCCGTCCAAGGAGTGTCCAACGGCGGCTGCTTCTGAGCATACTGTGTGGTCGTTCGAGCAGCGTGTTGGTGTACATCACCGACGCTTCTTGCAAGAGAGCAAGTCAGGAAAAAAGAGAGATAGGCAAGAGTCCCATACATGTTGGCGTTAGTGGGGACTACAAATTTTCAAGGTGAAGTTCAGAACCTGCGACAGCCGGAAAAGACAGGAAGCAAGAATATTTATATTTTCATCCTGCTCACGGCCCACCAACTGCCGGAGGCAAAGACAGATGTATGGAATGCCGGCCAGCATTTTGATCCAAAGTTTGAACAGCGCAATTCTCTGGACGCCGCCATGGCTCGTCGGCCCACAAATGCAGGCATAAGGGCCATGGCAGCCCTATAGACTGTGATGGATGGGCCGCCGCCCAGAGGTAGGAGGACATGAGACGACTGTGATCCACCGACGTCCGCTTGGCACATTAGTGGTGCATGAGTGCTCCGTTTAGAGGGAATGGAGATACATCGGCGCTACTGGATTGCCACTTGCCAAATTTGAGCAACGATCGAGGATCAAATCTCCACGTTCACCTCATTACTAAGTTCAGGTACTCAAAATCTCTCCGGTTCTCTCGGGAAGTCCCAGAGGCAAAACAGATCTTGCATGGGAAAAATGAAAGCCCCTGGCTTCTGACTCAGCATAACGCCCAATCAGCGCACCGCCCTGGAATGCAACCATTGGAACAACAGAGGAAGAAAAGATCGCATTGTTCGGAAAACCAATAGGAACAACGGGCTTCTGAGAATCCAAGATTCGGCATTGTGTTCAAACTCTAATCTATCATTTTCCCCTTTTTCAGAACATGGTCCGGTGCCTGAACCTTGGAACCGTTGGTAGTAATCTACAGCGCCAATACGCATATCTGCCGAGCCCGGCAATGTCACGATGGATGCGACTTCACCTTCATACGAGCCTTATCATACCCCGGGCACATTGTTGACCCCGCATATAATTTGTATGCTGCCTAAAGGCTCGACTCGGCGTTTATATCAGCAACAAATCAAGGACAGAGGCATAATGCGGGGTTGCGTCAGCCAAGTCATGGGTCATGCGTTGTAGCGCTTATCGCGCATCGTGATTTGACGGCGGTCGCGCTGCTGTCAGCCCTGCCAAGGGTGTTTTGATATAGCGTCTTTCCTCGGTAGCATGACCAGCACATCCATGGACATGGTGTTTAGACATGAATTGGACGTCTGGGGTGACATTTGTCGCGAGTTCTTTACCACGGAACAGTAGCCTGACATATGTACGTCTATCCTAGATTTGATGCTAGTCGCCGTTGGCTCCACTCGGCCATGATCAGCGGCAGCTGGGTTGACAGAGCGTGGCCGAGATTCGCCGAATTTCCGGGGCCTCCGGGCATTCTCCATCCACTGTGGAGTACTGGACAAGTCTGTTCGGACGAGTGCCCAACGACAAGACATTGCTGTAGCCGAGACACTTCAATGGTCGTTCCGCAGTGTATGACAAGACCTTGGCTTATTTTAGCGTACATGTTTCAGCTGAGCATAGCCACTGGATTCCTTGTCCTCAGGTCTGTGCTCTTTCATGGCATCCTGACCGGGTCCATAATATGGCTGTGCCACATGCAAAAGCCACATCTCAGGTGCTGCACTGGCTCTTCATATTATGTGAAGTGGGTCCCTGACCTCAATGGACATAGTAACCTGAGAATGTTTTTTAGAAGGTTTGACTCCTACCTATTCTGGGCCTGACCAGCTACCCCTTGAAGTGTTTCACTATTGTTATTGTATTAAACAAATGTCAGCGTCTAAATGCCACGCTATGTGTGGGAATTGGTAAATCAACATCATTTCCATACGAATCACGGTGGTACTAACTTTACAGATGCCCCACAGGTTAAAGTAACAAGAAGTCAAAAAAAACACGGTCAACATTCTAAATTACCAGTGCATAAGAGAACGCAAGGCCGCGTATATTATAAAAGACAATACTTTGAGTGAACAAGTAACAAACATGAGAGAAATAAATGCAAGGACAGATTGCTGGTCTAATGATATCACTTCTCCCACCGGCAAACCCGAGAATAAGGCTGGCAACTCGACACCGGTCCAAGCGGGCTACCCCAGCTTGTTCCCGGATGATGAGCACCAATTGACAAATCACTCCTCATTGCCTTTTCCTTTTTCACTGCGCGCAATTCATCTGAGCACCATGACATGAGGTCAGGCGATACTGCCCGTGAGACAGCTTGACGTTCCGGTTGTTGAGGGGAGCCATCGAAGAACGCGATAGCCGTGTTCTCTGCCTTTTTCTCTTCCGGTAGTATCGTCGAAATTTCTGCGGTCTCATTCCAGGAAGCGTCATTGTTTTGCTCCGCAGAAGACACCATCATGGACTCATATATATAGAACATTAGAGGCACGCTGCAATCTGTCCGATAAATATCCTTGAGCCTCGAGTTGAGCATCCTTAACTTATCCCACATTACTATCCCATACTTATATGTTCCGAGATCCTCCCTAAACGTCGCACGGCATGTTCGATCACTTATACTAGAAAGGCACGCCTGTGCCAGATTGGGGTTAGGTACTGGAGAGCGACCGCGCTCACGGAAAAGACGGGCAATTCCTTCCTCCATGTTTGTATTGCAGAGTCCACATGTTACCGGGAGTATGCCCTCCGTAACTGGTAGGTACACTTGTGAGCAACTTGGATCGAGTGCTCGGCGAGCCAGTAACAGCATGGAAGCTTGATGACACTCCTAGAAGAGCCGAAGATGAATCAGACCAGGTAAGAGCAAAGAATTGAAATAAGGGAGCATACCGTAGCGTGTCTCACATGCTTCTTTGACCACTGACTGGCCCCCTCATTATAATATCGAAGATATCCAACGCGGGAGAGCCTTCGAATCGGGCCCTTAGTAACTAACAACCATTTAGAGCCAAAGCCGATACCGCTGGGAGTGTACAACTTACATTTGATGTCACGAAAATAAGCGCTCACGATGTAAAGCTGCTCCAGGTCAATGCAGTTTGACGATATCCTTTTAGCCATATGCGTGACTAGGGCTTCGAAAGCCTCGCTTCCACTGATGGACTCATAGTGCTTCCGCCCAGCGAAGCGATTCAGGCATGTTTGCCGTATAACCAGGTGAGCGTAGAATGATCGGGCTATGCGGGCCCATTCATTTCGTGATAAGGGAACACAAACCTCTGTCTCTCCGAACGAGTTGTGGAACTCTTCCAGAGCCTTCTTGCTGTAATCGTCTATGAAAAAGGAGAGATGCCTGTGGACGAAGAGTAGTTCCTTCATTTCACATAGATCCCAACTCCATTTGCGGAGCGTCTCCGTGGGATTCCCCAATCGCTTTCTAATTAGCTCGAGGATTAGCATGAGGTATTCAATCACATCCCCGTGCGCTGATTTGGCGGTATCTAGGGTGAGTATGGCATATGGTAGTATCTCGGGAGTGATGGTAGTATACAGGCATGATTTCAGCACAGATGCCTCATACCCCTTGTAAGCCAGATAGAATGGCCGACAGCTGCGAATGGCAGAGAGTAGAGAGTCGATGTCAAGGTAACCGAGGATGATCTGGCGAGTTTCGAGCGATAGAAAATGAATTGGTGACATTTTGTGGCAGCGTCTCTATATCCTGTGCGAGATGTTACTTAACAGTTAGATGTAGATGAACTGATTAGTGAGGATGCATGCGAGTGCTTTTGATGAAGAGCAGGGATTGTTCTTTGAGGAGTGCATATATAGGCTCAACAACAACTGTCTTAGTTACGGATGACACCAAGGGATTGTGTCTCACTTGATAAGTATAAGCTATTAGACAATGTATAACGTGGTTCGTTTCACGGATATCTCCTTTATATGGGATGATATAAGTTGGTTCTCTATAGAAGACGGGGTTTGTTTCTCGTCACCCGACAATGGCTTCTTAGTGCTTGGATAGAACAAAGAAATTACGTATGACTATTTTAGTACGATACTTCAGTCATCTTCTAGCACTTGTTGCTTTGAGTCCTCGGTAGTTCCCATATTGGCAAAATTTGTCTTTGATGAGGGGTTCTGTATCTTCTCGGTACATTGTTTCTTATCGAGTGCAGCTGATGGTAGTATGAGGCATTACAGTGGCGATAACACTGGTAGAGGCGAGATAGTAGTCTGCAGAAGTGTTTCAATTAGGTTATATATTAAGTTACCCTAAGGAATACTGCTGTGACTTTTACAGATTTTGAAATGCTGAGAAATTGAGGATGATATAGAACTACCAGTCCTTAGCACCGATATATATATATATATACCTCGCAGTGCTAGGAGATGAATATCGTGGAGGCACCTTCAATAATCTGATTGTTGCTTGTTATTATCGTAGTGTCTGTCTTTAGAGCCATGTGACAATACTGACTTGACAAAGACAAGATATAGTCATACCAAGAAACATGATGCGTTGTGTCTTTTTCGATACCAATTTCTTGTTTCTCACGTGACTATTTCCACGAAGGGTTCAAGTGGATCCTCAGGACCAGAAAGTGGATATTTGGGCCCGAGTCCAGACAGTCAAAGCCGAATTCTTCCCTTCCATTGTGGGTTTCCCAGCGTGGTGCGGTCAGCCCACTTCTGCCCACTCTCAACAAAGCCCCAAGACCCTACATCGGGAACCCTGCGCTCGCTAGTCCCGAAGAGGTGCCCTGTCTGGCCCGCTATTCGCCAGATTGGCCCAGACGGTGGCCGATGCCTAGCCGATTGGGTTTAGTGCCTGAGCCCTTGCCCAGACTCTGGCCCCACCCAGCAGTCCCTGACGAACCAATGGAGTCTACATTTCAGACCCTGTCAGATTCTGATTGGGGGAGAGACGGCTGCTGTTCGGTCTGTGATGGGCCAATGGGTGGGGAGTCACCAGCCTAAACGGGCAAAACGGCAAACATTTGTTCAGTGAACAGCCAACTTAGTATTACTTAGTACTAAGTCCCTCCCCCCCCCTGCCGCAGCCCGTGACCCCCACCGACTACGCAAATCAAGAATTGCCGGCGAGATTCAAACGTCGATCGTCATCCTCGCGGCCTCTTCTCGCCGTTCCTCTCTTTCCTCACTCCGCCTGCTTCTCCCTCCCCCTCCTCCCCCTTCTTCCTCTCTCTCCTTTCGCTTTTCCCCCTCTCAATCCCCTACATCGCGTTCGTCACGTCGCTAGGAAGGTTATTGGCAGCTTCCACCATGTCCTTTCCGTTTGTCTGTCGCATCACCCATCTCCAGAGATGAACCCGTTCCGTGGCCCCGTCGACTTCCCTCCATGAGCCATCCCTTGGGCGATGACACAGCATCCGGTCCGCCTCCGACACCGCCGTTTGCCCCCAAAAGAGCATGCCCTTCAAGCATGTTCGGAGGCCTGGAAAAGAGTCTGTCCGATGTCCGGCTGTATATCTCCCGTAAGTCTAATACTGCCCATCGCATGCTCCTCTACTGGCTATCTACACGTCTTCCAGCAGGACTGACTCAGTTTCATGCCTTTAGAGCATCTTGGCCTCATCCGCGCCAGCCTGCATAATGGAAAACCCACTGCTTCGGGGGGGTGGCGGCCCGTTGCCCTGCGTCCCGCATACCTCTGTTGGATTGCTGCGATCATGTTTGCGATGCTGATCACGCTCGAGATACTTCGCCGGTATAGCGATCAGTATGGAGGTCTATACTTCTTCCCAGACACCGATACCGTGTCAGACGCCCAGTCGTTCGCCTACAACTATCTTCCCATCATTGCTGCCCTCATTCTTGTCACCCTGTGGACCTTCATCGATTATGATGTTCTTCGCCTCGAGCCATACTTCCAAATTTCTCGCCCGGAGGGTGCGCCGGCATCGGTTCTCTTCATCAACTACAACTTCGGCCAGTCCTTTCTTACGCCGCTCACCTCGGCCAAACGAGGCCATTGGGTCGTATTGCTCGTGTCTGTCGCTACCCTGCTCATCCGCGTGCTCCTCCCGGCTCTGCAGAGCACCCTTCTCGAACTCCGTGAAATCACTGTCGTGAGCAACGAGAACATCAAGACTTGGCCCCAGCTGCTGGACCTACATACCCAGGCTGTATGGATCAAGGCGCAGAAAAGCAATGACACCCTGGCTCTGGACTCCGTCCTTACTGCTCGTGACAACCTGCACAGCTCTCAGTCCTCCAGCTACGCAGTAGCACCCGTCGAAATCAGCATGGAAGACCGGCGGGAAAGTACGGTTTGGACGCTCAATCAAACCATCTACTGGTCTCAAATGGAGTGTCGCAACATTGTAGCACATGATCACCTATCTGTCTCCATCAATGACACATCGAGCGATCCACCCATTCTCTCGTGGGACGTAACGGACGTGCAGCTGCAGGATATCCCCGGGACGAACGAAACATGCACATTGGACTTTCACTACAGCAATATTTTCTTTCCGACAACCGATTACTTGCAGGTTCGGTACTGGGAGCCCGTGTGGAACAATCAGTCGCAACCTGTATACAGCCGTAGAAAGGCTTTTACCACTCATGGCTGCGATGATCCCTATGATTTATATGGAGTCGTCATCTCGGTAAATGCCACCGTGGCCGGAGCTAATAGCATCAGTCAGTTGGGCTCCGAGTTCACTTCATCTGCCGGCATCTTTGGCTGCAAGGTTGAATATCGACAGGCGGAGGCCAAGGTCTCCATGCATGCTAACAGCTCAATCACAAACATCTATGGATACCCCGATACCGAACGGGAGTTGGGAACAGACCAGCTCAATATCGACGCTTTCCAGGATCTCCTGGCCCAGCGAGCACCATATACGGGCGACATGTTGTTTATCGAATTGAACGAGACCACCGGTGATACTACAGTCACAGAGCTGCCTGTGATTAGCCAGGACCTGGGCGACCTCGAGCCGCTTCTGGTATTGGATGCATCGACCGTCATGACGACGGACGAATTTGAGAGCAAGGTCAAACGAAGTGTAGCGGAGACGTTCGTGCTTACAATGAGTCGGCTCTTTAACCCCGACCAGAATCCGACCAATGCACCGGCCCAACGGGAGTCCACGCAAGTCGCCATCGCAGTTGTGTCGTTCGCCTCGTTGTTTTCTGAGGTGATCTTGGCAATCGCCATCTGTCTCACCATATCTCTCCTCTACTTTTACGGAACCCGACCCAACATCCTACAGAGTGACCCGAGCTCTATCGGTGCCATGTGTAGCATGTTGACTGATGTCTTCACACCTTACAACATCCTTGCTAATCCTCAGCCCGAATTCCACCAATTCTCGACACGGCAATTACGTCAAGTCTTGCGAAACTGTTGGCTTCGATGGCAACAGGGACCCATGGGACACCGACTCGAGATTATAACTGCAGACGGTTAGTCCATATCCTCCAAGCCCTGCGTACATCAAGCTAACTAAATCAGGTTCTCCGGTCACTCTCAGTGAGCAACTACGGACACGTGTCGACCCAATGCCCCATTTTTTGGTAATACCCATTTTCATCATCGAATTTCTTCTCCTCGCTGCCGTTATCGCTGTGATGGGAGTGACGGCAGCTACTCTTGCCCACGACGGGAGTTTTCAACATCTCTCCCAGTCCAGTTCCAGTTTACTGCAGGCCATAACTTCCTTTCTCCCATCTGTTGTCGCATCTTCCGTGGCGGCTCTATGCAACTCGATCCTTCGTAACATCAGCATTCTGGAGCCGTGGGTCCATCTTCAGCGCGGCATGGTGGCCGCCCAAACGTCGCTGTCCATGAATTATGCGTCACAGAATCCTTGGTCGATCTTAAGAAAAGCCGTCCGGAATCGACATACCCTTCTAAGCCTCGTCTCACTTGCCTGCATCGCCAACATCCTGCTGACTGTTGTTGCCGGTGGTCTGTTTACGCAGAGACTGACGGAGTCCTATCTGCCGTCAACATCTCTTTACGTCAATTACAGCAACTCCCATTTCCTACGGACAGACTTCGCTCCGGACTTCACGGAGTTTGATCTGATCCAGAACAGCGCCACTAGCGGTGTACCATTATTGCCATGGATGTCTGCGAACCATTCATTTGCTCCGATCAAGAACACCGACTCGAACCCTGACCTGATGTACGGGGCGACCACGCTCGGAATCGGTAGTGATCTGGACTGCAAAATCTTGGAGACATCCCAGAACTTGAGAGAAGACGGCCAGGATACTTTTTTTGTCTATCGACCGTCCCGTGATGTCAGCCGGCAATGTAGGGTGAACATGACGTCGCTAGTACGCCCCAGCGACGCCATTGCCCTCTCCATCCACTTTCTTTCTCCGGTGGCGGACACGGACACCGATTTGTGTCAGATGTCGACGGTGCTGGTGGTTGGACGGTGGAATTATACCTCGGAGTCACCTTTCACCGATGACAACACCATTGCGCTCCAATGTGAACCACATGTACAACTTCAAAATTTCTCCGTGACCTTTGACCGACGGGGTCAGATATCCGACATAGACCCGATTCCTGGTACGGAAACCACGTCAGGAACCATGTATGAAAATGCGACGATGGCTCTAGGCCAATTCAACAAGGTCTTTGCCGCCATCCCTCAGAGCTTCGTGGGGGAGGAACCGGGACGGAACCGGTCTTATGTTTCGTCATATGACTGGGCAGGGTTTCTCGTGGCTCGTCTCTACCGGCAGCACGAGAAGATTGTTCCGCTCAACGCCTTGGAATTGATGACACAGTCGCAGGTTGTGTATCAGTGGGTATGGAGCACCTACTTCACGATCTGGCGAAACATGTATCTGGTGCCTTTGGATGAAGTGGTGTCGGCCGGCAATGCCACGGAGATCTCCAATACGTGGACCATGGTCCCGTCGGTGCCCTCGCTGGCCATGGCGCTGGTGATCATTGCACTAGACACGCTGGTCGTGTTAGTCGTCTTCGGCACCCGACGCGGTCGTTTTCGCGGCCCCCGGATGCCACGATCCATTGGAGCGATCATTCCGTGGGTTGCGCACAGCCGCATGCTGAGTGATTTTCGCAACACCTATTCTTGGACCAATGAGCAGCGGCGAGAGCATCTGACTCGGCTGGACAAGCGATATGGGTTTCGGATGTTCCTACAGGCGGATGGGCGGTGGCGGTATGCTGTTGACGAAGAGGCGGTTGGGCTGGTCGACAAACCACCAGATGGAGGAACTGACGCGGCGAAAGGGCCGGAAGTGATCGAGATGCAGCCCATTGGAGAGCCGAGAGTTGAGCCTGGGCCCGATCATCATGAGTGATGCGATATGATTACGGATGTACTATTATACCACAAAAATTTGGCGAACGGGATAGACCGGGGTGGTTCGGAGTTTTGCATCATGTACATAGATCTGAAAAGAAATTTTGACTTTACCCTATTTTATGCAGCATCTTACTGGGTTCAACAGCCTTTTCAACTTTCCCGACGAGTTCGGACTTGTTCCGAGCGGGGAAGCACCCCCGCATTTGTTATAGCTTGGCTCTACCACTACTACTACTATCACTACTATTACTCCTCTTACCTGCCTGTCAGTCAGTCCAATCTCTAATTCAGTTTATTTTCAATCATTTGTTGCTCATGGCTAGCCAGGTTGATGTCCTTCTCTATGGGCTGGGAGCGTATGCAGTCTCCTCCAATTCTCTGCCCGGCGATGAATCTAACTGAATCGCAGCATTGGCTCCTTCTACGCCTTCATTCTGCATCGTAGTAACAAGGTTCGTCTGACTGTGGTCGCTCGGTCCAACTACGCAGCCGTCAAGGAGAATGTGAGTGATACTAATGTATCTTGAACGAATTATGGCCGACTCACTGCCAAACAGGGCATCCTTCTGAAAAGTGCCAACCACGGCGAGCATCGATTCTATCCAGACCACGGTAACTGCTCCCTCACGCAGTCACAACCAGCATCACCAACTAACCCGATCGCAAAGTGGTCCGCTCGCCTTCAGAACTCACCCACCCAGTCGACTATGTTGTCTGCACCAACAAGGCCATTGACCCAGCCAGCGCCGTCCACTCCCTAGCACCGGCAATTGGCAAGGACACCACAATCGTGATTATCCAGAACGGCGTGGGAAACGAAGAGCCATTCCGCGAGGTCTACCCATCCTGCAGTATCATCTCCTGCGTTGTATGTCTATTCCCCAATCCTCAACGTCTTCAACAGCCAACCCCACTAACCCCGCCCAGACATGGGTCGGAGCATCCCAGCCCACCCCAGGCACCGTCATCCACACCACATCCGAAGACACCGAACTCGGCCTTTACCCGAACCCCAACGTTCCAGATGCTGTGGAGGCTGAGCGTCTCAACATTTTCACTGGCCTCCTCGCCGCAGGTCAGACTCGTCACACAGTGCACGACAACATCCAACCCACCCGCTGGTCCAAAGTCATCTGGAACTGCGCCTGGAACACCCTGACGACCCTGACCGCTTTGGACACGCAAGCATTCTTGCAATCCTCTGCTGATGCCATTCCCTTCACGCGACGACTCATGAGCGAGGCTGTGGCTGTGGCTCGTGCTGCGGGTGTCCCTCTCCCGGATGATCTGATCGACACTCAATTGGCACGCATTCAAGGTCTGGGGGCAGTCCGAACGAGTATGCAGATCGACCGGGAGAATAACCGACCGATGGAGATTGAGGTGATTGTGGGTACACCAGTGCGTAAGGGGCGAGAGTTGGGGGTTCCTACGCCAGTGTTGGAGACACTGTATGTACTGTTGCGGGCTGTTGATGGGGAGACGCGTCGGGTGCAGAAGATTTGAGAGATGAACTCTTCGGTAGAGCTAGACGAGTAAATTCCTACAAAGTAGAGGTGTCTCATGGCTATAGTTGATGTATATGCCTACATATTCAGATGTCCTTCTCAACAGGGTAGTTATGATAATTCATGCTCTCCCTATCACTACTATTTCTAGAATGCTTTTTCAGGTTCAATGGCAAGTGGTCTTTCACCCCAGTCGTTCCTTTCATCTCGGATCCGTTTCACTACTTATAATCTTACCTTTCACTCTCCAAATCGGACTTCTCATACTCACACTACGCCTAGCAGTTATATAAAGCTTCCATCTCCGTTCAAACTCTCTTTTCTTTCATTTTACTCGGTCATTAAATGATCTTCTATCAGATCCAAAAGACTAGTCTATACCGGCGCACTAGCCACTAGACTAAAAACGATATATCGCATCTAGCTAGACTAGCGACGCGAGAGATTACTGTCTTAAAACTCTATATGAACTGTCTCAAAAGAACATTAGTTTAATATCATAGTATACCAATACTGGGTAGATTTTTTCTCGAAACCCTTAACTTTACAGAGAACAGTAAAAGACTGTCTCCACAAACGTTACAACTAGCACACATTCAAGGATAGAACTCTTGATTATCTCCGGTTGTACTTCTACCTCTGCTTTTCGGTACTGAAGTGGCTGCAGGGTACAACATATGCTTATTCCAAGCCATGACAATTGGTAGAATTTAGCAATCAGCTAATAATTACAAGAGCAGAATTAGGATAGAGACTGTCCCAGGTCACAGAGATCCTCGAGGTAACGAAGAGTCCAAGCAAAGGGCAGTGGGAGTAGAGATAGCAAACGAAGCATAGAGACTGTCAACGGAGAGGATATTGTCTACGGATCTGCTATAGTGGCTGACCATTTTTGATGGGAATGTTTCCAGCGAGCAAGAAGTAGCAATTGTAGGTAGTGTGCTATAATTACAGGAAGTAGTATACAATGAGTTGGTGATGATGGACTGTTCTTATTATTCTCAGATCTGAGTAACTGATACAATATCTACTTTGACTGTTTGGTTTAGCTACAGAGCAAACATACATGCTCATCCCAGTTGGACTATTATCGTCTAGCTTTAGTAGTCTACATTGATATAGAGTATATTCCTTCTATTTCCTCTAGAATCATACCGAGGAACCTAGGGTGTTGGACAGGAATCATCATTGATGGCTCATGAGACGTTCCGAGCAGCGGGTTGTGATTCTACTCAACCATTAGACTGATTGTATGAGTTTAGTCCGTCAGCTATTTGTGAAAGCATATTTCACATTGATCTTCCCTCCCTTAACCCAGCGCCCAATATCTAGCAGAGAGATATTGACTTAAAATCAATCACGATCTTTCCTCCTTGATTTTTTCCATGACCATAGACTTAGTCTCTGTCTTAACAAAGACGACATCCGGTTCGATATCCCGCTTCACAGTTACCAATTTAGAAGGAGAGACGGGTGCATCCTTATCATCCAACTTGGTCTTCTTAGCCGGACGCTTGTGAAAATTGCAAGCGATATCAGGCTGTCGCTTCATGGGGGTACTAGACGGAGTAGTAGTTGAGGTCGACTTGTCACCCGAGCTGCCGGCAGTGCTCTTGGTGGGACTGGAGTTGTTCGCCTGACGCTTGAGCTTTGTTATCTGCTGTTCAATCGCACATGCAGTGCAGTCTGTCTGGATTAGCTTTTGTATAGATATGGTTTTATACTAGGGTGGGTTTAAGGTACCGCTGCCCATGTGGGTGGCAAGTCGTTCGTAATCAAGCTTGAGCTTCCCACGCATCTGCTCCAATACACCGACCAAGAGCTTTCATTTGTCAGTTGTGTCTGTCATAGAATGTGTATGTGCAGGTTGCTCGCTCACTTTGGCGTTGGCTTCGTTGGTCCAATACATGGTCCGATGAAGTTGTGCGGTGAGAGGTAGAAGGTGTTGGTAATTAGCTTAGAAGATGAGATTATGTGACGATTTTTGGTTTGTTAGATAGAAATAGGATGGGGTAACAGCTCAAGTATAACAAGTATTGCACCTCGTGATAAGAATGTTGTCATCAGTGAATGCTCAGTGTTGTGAATGTTGGTCTGAGTGGTATGCAAAAGGCAAGGCTGGTCGCAGTAATGCTTTGGAGTTCCTAGTCGGGCATCTCTATACAAGAAATTAAACACACGAGAGGTAAACAAGCTGTAGATCGTCATGATATGCATATGGCTCTTACGTCTGGTGATACTGGCATGGATGGTGAGATGATAAGCATCAACAAGTGCCTGGATGCCAATCATTGATGCCCCTTTCACCAGGCATACATTTGAACACGTTGACCCGATCAGGAAAGGCTCCTGTTCTCGCGGTCGCTTACACCGCCTACTACTATAGTTCGCGTATCTTGCAGAATACTCACCGCCTCTCAAGCCTGTCATGCCTTAGGCAAAAGTTGTGGTCGAAATTACAGGCAGCGTCAGGAACACTGTGCTTCGGTAAAAACTCCCTAGTCTACATATCCGCCTTGCTCATTTCCTCGACAGACAAAAGACTGAAATTTATTCAAAAAAACGAATTGAACATCCTGGCTAAGACTGCACCTACTGCTATCCGCGACCGTGCGACCGCAGTCATGTGATTATTTCTATGATTACATGATGCTGGCAAAAGGTCTCAAAGCACGTGACAAGATGCAAAGGTCACTTGACCCTTTGCGAGCAGTCAAGTGAATCCCATGAACTTACACGTGACGGTAAGCACCACCATTGCGAACAAGTAGAGTCTTTCGACCCTTTCAGAGATACAAATCAGTCATGTTATACGTAGTCCATAAGAAGCTGGAGACCCTCACTAGTTAGGCAAGAAATCCAAAGAATATTTGATCTATATGCCAATGCCGGTTGTTCCTTGATTAGCCACCTAAAAGATAATACTGTTTGTATTGGTAATTATAACCACACCCACGAAGGGGCAGATGACATTACTCTACGGCACGTGACTGGCAAGACCGGTTAAAGGCAACCGAAATAATCAAAGATACTTGGTATTTTCTCGTATTTCCCTACCATATTACTACACCATCCCTAAGTCATACATGGTAAAAATTCGTAAAATGCTGGGGATACCTGCTACGTAGAGACAAAGAAAAAAACAAATGATGTATAATCGCTCACAGATATGCGCATTTCGCCAACTTGTGAAGGATGAAATTGGTAGCCAGTTCAGTAATCTGACTGTAATAGATGGGTTGACCTGAAGAGTATCATGACACGTGACTGGCGGAGTAATTAATGAGCGAAATACAGTCAACGGAGCTACTTTTACGGTCTAGCCGATCTGCACTCAACCACGTGATGGGGTTATGTACCTGTGCTTACAGCGAGTTACTGACAACTACCTTCTCGCGTGTTGTGAACAAAGTGTAAAACATGTATATCGGCATGTGGGATATCCATAATCAAGCTGGACTTCTGGCCCAAGAGTCTGGCCTTCACTTCGTCTCTGTGCAAAGATCGACAATATTGCTAAGGTTGCACAAAGTCAGGGCATTTCGTCGTGTCATGTGAGGCACCGAAAACTGGCTCATCTCCGACGAGGTAGAGTAGCATCATCAGCCTTTGCTGCAGATTTGGCTTTTTCTCTTCTCATGATTGCTACAGGGCTCGAATCAGAAAGCTTTCAGACTCTGAAACACACTTGCAGTGATGACGGCACGCTGGAAAGTTTACTATCAATATCCGAACACTGTTCTCACGATAGGGGTAACATCCCACAACCCACAATGTAACCTTAGTGTCATCAGGAAATGAACAACGATACACATCATGTTAATACCATCAGGCGACGGTCTCGTTTGTGATGGAAGTAACCTGCGTGGGTTGATTCTTGATGCCACAAGCCGAGAGATCAAGCAGTCCGAAGAAGCAAACGCCGAAGCCGCGGAAACGGAAAGGGGCCGGATGATCGACCTGTCAACAGTGGACGTCAGCATGGCGTTACGCGTCCCGGAAAGTCTGGATCAGCAGCTTATCGTCAAAAAGTCTTCTCCACGGAGTAATTTCACCTAGCACCGGGACTTTCAGTCGCGGAAGTCGGACCTAGTCAGCGACCATTTCCCATTGGCCTTCCGACCGCGAGAAGCAGCACCCAAGTGCTATTCACAAGGTAGTACCGGCATCAAACCAAAGGTTTGCGCCACCATTCAGGCTACAGTGTGAGAGATACGAGGTTCATCGACTCTTACGTGTTCTGAGAGGCTAAGCCAGATCATATGGCAGAAGTGTGGCAGTTTTAAGGCGCTCGTATTCAAAGGCAAGAGGCAGTATAGTGCAAGCTGTCCGGAAATGAACGGGAGCTTCCGGTAACGTACAGGGATGAAGCAGAGCTTGTTCCAAAGCCAGGCCCATCCATCCTAAAATCGTCCACAGAGTCAAGATTTGTCTCTCTCATGTGTTGGGCAGCAATCTGCGCAATCCCGACAAGTGAATAATTTTAGAGTGAAGTGGATCTTAGGCACACTGAACCATGGCAAAACGGAGCAAGTTACACAGTGATACAGATGATCTGTTCGATGGATCAGCGAGGAAATGGCTGGGCATTGCTACTCCTCGTCCTATTATTTTTGCCCCTCCCGACATACCCAAGTCATCTGTTGCATGAGAAACCTTGGTTGGCAATAAATTTAGTAGGCCTTACGAGGCTGGGTGGTATGGCGATACTGGACTGATTCTCCCACTCAACCTCCAGACGAGGCATTCGGGCGGGATTAAAATTATGGGTCAAATCGCCTCACTGTCCGTTTATTGGAGTGCTGGATTGAGAAAGGGGGTGGGGGTGGGAGTGAAATGAAGACTGGAGAAGAGTGAGGAGAAGAGTAATGGCCTTCTGTTTATGAAACTACCTATCACTAAAAATCTACTAACTAACCAGGCGAGGCAAAAAGGAGGAGGGGTTAGTATTCATATTCATAAAAATGATGAAACAATATTGAAGAAAGCAAAGGTAACACACGCAGACATACAACGAACAGAAAATTTAGCCTTTCAGCTACTTGCCGTGTTCACGTAGACTCGGTCCTCCACGAATTTGCTAGGTTGCTGGTTCGTGGGCTTCGGCTTTTTGGTACCATCCGTTGCTCCATCATGATTTCCCACGATAACAATAGCCTTGTGAGCAATGGAGGAGACGGAAGTGTAGCCCGATCCTGCATCTTTAGGCTCACTATGAGTGTATACGATGGCCGGTCGTACAACAAGCAATATTTTACGTCCATCCAAATCAGCCTCGTTTGCAGGATCAGTCTCGTCCCAAAGCACCATGTAGGGGCTACCGCACTTGTACAATGATCCCAGCTGTGGCAATTGCTCCATGCGGAACTGACCACCGACACGCGTTTCGCCGTCACACATTAGACGTAGGGCCATTTCAAAAATCTTGACCAGCTCTGTCCGCCGGGATAGCGCCTCCTCGGGACTCAAGGGCTCCCTGAGTAGCAGGCGGATTGGCCTACTGCCCAGAAGCTCATCAGCCAGGGGAGGCGCACGAGCCTTGAGGCGCTTGACATTCTCTTGTCCAAAATCCAGGTCACCTGGCGCTTGACTCGCAGTTACTGAGTTGGCTAGTCGGTGCGTTTGTTGTTTCCAGAGCGTTGCAAAATTTGGATTCGCTGGACACATTTCATTTAGTGGATTGGTGAAGTCGTGGGCCAGAGAACTACTCACTTTCGAAGAATCGGTCGTAGAGGTACTGGAGTTTTGTGGCGAAGCTTTCGTCTCCATCCTGATCGGTGGACCCGGTCTTCCCATCGAGGTACTGGAATGAGTTGGGAAGAACCTTTGTGGCAATGGCTTTGTTGATTAAGGTCTCCAAGAATCTCCCTCCAGGTGCTATCAGAGGTGGTAGAAGCCTTTGGAGAGTAGGCCAATCATCCTGGATACAGTACCCATCCAGGGCGTCAATGACGAGCTTCATGTCACTTTTGGAAATTGTTCCAATATCTTTCATTGCCCAATCGTAGACCCACTGAAGAATTAATCGGAACATATCTTCGTAATTAGCCGAAACGTCGGTCAGTTCACATTCCCATCCTCGGCTTCCCGACATGAGGAGACGATTCATGCCTCGAACCCTCTGAAGGTATTTTTCCTTCGTTAGAAAAACCCTTGAGTACTCTGGATAGGGTGTGTTATTCTCTTTCCGTGCCCTCCTGACGTTGGATTTGAGCGTCTTGTCTTTATTTCCACGCCGTTCAGAAGCTCCGGGTGAAGGTGTTCTCTGAGCAGGAGCCTCAAGGGTTGGGGTTGAAGGCCGCGCTTCCGGCTTCTTTTTGGGATTGGATCGCTTAGCACCAGCCATTGTAGTGCTGTTGTGGCGAAAGGGCGATTGAATATATTGAATTGGAAAAGAGACGATGTGCCAAATATTGAGCAAGAGAAAATGATGGAGAAGGCAGATTGAAGAGAAAGGATCCGAAGGCGGACAAAAGCAGGACGGATTGCTTTGTTTGAGAGGGCTGAAAGATGACACCGACAGGCATCCGTTCTTCCCATCCCCCCTCCCTTTCGTATTCTATTCCTTTTAGGGTTCAATGGCTGATTGTCATCCGAGCCAGCAAAAACAAAGCATGCTGGGACTTCTTTTCATCAGTGTCTCCCATGGCTTCTTTTCTTCCTACCCTTCTCCTCACACTGCCAGTGGATGCCGGTCTTCTTTGTTCGTTGCACCCAACGTTCATCATCGCTCTACCAAGATCCAACCCAGAATTCCCTTTTCGCCTATTTCATATATAGCTTTCTACATAATACCAAGCATTGCATACGCTATGGAACCCCCTCTAGGTCAACGAAAAGTATCGTTGGAATCGATTTTGGAACGGAAAAAACTTGTAAGTCTAGGCTTCAGCACCCGTCCCCAATGAGTAGCCCAGTTAACGCATCACGCATGACATGTAGGTGCATCGCATGCTCTTTGGAACAGCATCCAGAAAAAACCGCCCCCTATCTTTTCCTTGACCATCAGCGACCGAATCGTCTTCTCGTCATGTCTGGCGCTTGGCCAGGACGAAAGGATATTGTGGGGTCAAGAAGCATACGATGGCCAGCAAGGAACCGTATATAAATGGCTCAAGATATTTCTGTACGATCCGGACCACCCAATTCTACAAGAGCCAAATGCACCACAGTTGCCAGAGGGTGTCTTGCCCGAGGAACTCGTCACTGTGTACCTTCGTCAACTCTACGACGCAATCACTGAGAAGACCCGCACACTGTACCCCAATTGCGATGAAGGGACTGACTATTGGTTTGGTTGGCCAGCCACCTGGTCCAACGAGAGCCAACAGAAAATGATGAGAGCGGTGCAAGACGCAGGATATGGTAACGGTCCCGAGGAACTCGTCACTGTGTACCTTCGTCAACTCTACGACGCAATCACTGAGAAGACCCGCACACTGTATCCCAATTGCGATGAAGGGACTGACTATTGGTTTGGTTGGCCAGCCACCTGGTCCAACGAGAGCCAACAGAAAATGATGAGAGCGGTGCAAGACGCAGGATATGGTAACGGTCCAGATCGCTTTTTCTTCGTGACAGAGGCCGAGGCGGTCGCATTGTTTTTCACGTACCATGAGCATTATAGAAAGGTTAGTGCGAGACCCGGGGTAGTTTTTCATTTTATTTTTTATTTTTTTTTTCCTCTCTCCTTTGCAGGCCCCGAGTAGTCTATCAGTTGAGTAACAGTCTTTGAAGCTGGGCGATGGTTGTATTCTGATATGTGATATCGGAGGAGGGACAACAGTAAATGCCCGAACTTCATGAGTGCCTTGATAATCTTCCATGCGTTACTAATCTGTCATCCTGGAAGGACGTCGTTGCAATGCAAATACAGAACAGCAGCATAAATCCTACTTACGAACTGCTGAGTAGATCCTCCGGTATAGTTCATGAAACCTGTTTGGCAAATCTTTATGCGGATGCTAACATTCTACAGGCAACGACTGTGGGTTAGCGGCTATGGATGCTGCACTGCGCGGGTACGTCAGGAGTCTCCCCGGAGTACCATCCCAACGGTTTTTGGACAAAATAGGCGATTTGAAAAGAGGATTCAATGGGGATGAAGTTCGTCCGATAGTTCTTCCTGCATCGGGCCAACGCACCGCTCTCCCAAAACATATCAAGGGATGCTTGAATCCAACTATCGAAAAGATTCTCAGTTTGATCCTGGAAAACATTGATGCATCACGCCAAATGCAACGGCCAATTTCGGTAAGCTCTACCCTGTTCACTACAAATTAGTTAGGCTGACAGATACTCCAACTAGCATGTCCTCCTTGCTGGAGGTGGCGGCATGATGCCTTATCTCAGGAGTCATATAGGAGTGAAATTAGAGGGAATTGCTGAGGTGCTGTATCTTATCGAATACGCGTACGTCTATGCTGTTCCCTGTAGGAAGCGGTTTGGGGCTGACTCTTCCATAAGCCGATATCTGTTGCGTGGGGAGCGACTCTCCGAGGTGCTCTGGGTAGGGCTATTCCCCGCCTACAGTTTGACAGGAGCTACGGCCTCGAAGCTACCTCTGAGGCCATTGTTCATGAGGAAGGACTGGACAGGCGCATTTTGAGGAAGACGTCCATACCTTATTGGATTGTACGGAAGGTGCGTACTGGCGTGGCTCCAGCTCCCTAAACTCAGGCTGAACTGACACTTCCACAAACCGTCTGCAGGGCCAGGAATACGCGATAGATCATGAAGAGAGTCACATTTTCAACATCTTTCACCGCGCCGGCGATCCCGCGACGACCATAATCAATCTTGTCGAGCATCCCGGGAAGTGTCCATCTCCCGACGACGGAAGTAAGTTCCCTGGATTACTCCTATGCAGGTGTCTGAAGACTCCAACTTTTTCGCGCGCATCTAGCTCACATTGCAAATGAAATAGTAACATTGGTGCCCAAAGGTGTCTTCGAATTTTGCCTCCAGTTGCAAGATCGCGATAGCATATTGCGCACAGGTGATGAGTGCAGCATTAAGGTGCAGATCGCCTGGACCTTGAGATACTCGAAACAGCAGGCGGAAGTGGAGCTCGTTGCTAGTGTGAAGGATGCAGAACTTGGTCGAAAGGTTGGGATCCTGGACGGACATAGATTGGTACATTGAAATTTCTTCTATTTAAATCCCCGTTCCCTCTTGCTAGCTTTGATGAGTTTCAATCTGGAAGTATTGAACTTCCTCCGATCTTCATTCCTCATGTTCATATTTCGGGTCATTTCATTCTTTTCAGCCTTAACTCTTTTGTTTACAGATTTCGGGTTATTACTTCATTCCTTTCTTTTTTTTTTTTTTTTGCAAGACTGTTAGCGTGCCCATAGTCTGCCTGTGGACCTCATACATCTATCCCGCTCAGTCACAGTGTACTTTGCATTTCGGCATACAAAATTTCTTTTCGGTCCCTGAGAAATAAAAACGTTCTAGCCTCATCATCGCAAAAACACATTAAAATTCACCGTAGATGAAAGACCTTCAAACAACATATCAAGGCAAACGACCATCCCTCCTGCTCCTTCAGTCAATCTACCTAGTGTTAGTTCAAAAATATACCTTCAGCCCGTCCGTATACATCATGGTGACCAAACTTTACCGCAACCAGACACGTCCACGATAAATCACAGCCTATCTACAACACCCCTTTGAAGCAACCATACGAAACATCATCTCATCTCTCAGAATTTACACTACAAGGACCTTCTGGACTAGTATATGTGACGGATCACCTGGCCCCGCTACACTCTAACCCTGACAATATCTTGTGCCCGACACTGACGGGTAAACATTCCACAGCCGATATTCAACCAGCACACCCGCCAATAATCATCCGTGAGCATTCATCCGACTCAGCCGGCTGGCCTCGTGAGCCGAGGCAATGCAGGAAGTAAGTTGGTGTGCCTTGGTCTGATGATCGGGTTCGTTTGTTTCAGAAGGAAAGGGAAGGGTTCAGTTGACCGAGGCCGAAGTTTATCCATTTCCGTACCACCAGACAATTTTCGAACCGCATAGCAGCAGCAGGAACATCATAAATAAGACTATCATTAATTCTATCTTATCATTGTTGTTACTTCTACCCTCTCAATTCCATCGTTATACAGAGAATCAATTCTAAGAGAAAGATACTCCCATCTCGACACAGACTACCCCGTCTTCCGAAGCCAAGAAAGACTCAAAAATGGGCAGCCCTAAAAGCCATCCACGAACCCGCACTAGACTAAAATAAAACCCGCGCGGCGCCCGCCCGGACACAGATTGATTACCACCCCAGCAATTTAATCTATCGGCGACAAACCCGGGTTTGCCCTGTGCTTGACTGATGCCTAGCCTCACCAGCCTAACTACCACCAAGGATGGTCGACACATAACGGTTCCTGCATATGATACCACAGGATTTGTCGCAGGATGAGACCGAGAACCAACCAAAGGATGCAATTCGGGGTTTTCTGGGAGAAATTCTGGAAAGACTAGAATTAGTGGGGTTTCAGATGAGACTCCTGATTCCTGTTCCTGTTCTGTTCCTTGTCCCTAGTTTAACCTTAATAGACTTTGTTATACTCTATACTAGACTAGATTAGACTACGGAGTAGAACAGATACCCATGAACCCGGGAGAAACAGCCCTGGTATGGTGAAACCGACAGACTCCACACGGGGGTGATCAGTCGATCCAGTTCAATCCGGCATTCCCTAACGGACCCAAAAATGATCAATCTTTGGTAAATAACCAATGTCGCAGACAATACCACTGCTATGTATATAAACCAGCTTGAAGTCCAAAATTCTCCTATCCAGCAAGTGCAGTGCACCGCCCATCTCATCCCATTCTCGCTCCCATCCTCACCCACTCAGTCAGTCACTCGTTGAGCAGCGCTCCATACACTCGTTATACATACACCCCCAAATCATCTATATACATAAACAAAACCAAAATGAAATCCTTCATCACCCTCTCCCTCCTCGCCACGGCCCTAGGCGCCCCCACCTCCACCCTCCAGGCCCGTCAATTCGACCTCTCCTCCTTGACCTCCGGCCTATCCGCCCTGACCTCCGGCTCCGCAGCTAGCTCTTCCTCCGGCTCGACTGGAAGTACCGGAACTGGATCAGAAACGACCACCGGATCCAGCGGCCTCAGCGCTCTGGCCTCGCTGTTCCCGTCGTCTTCCACTTCCAGCACTACGGGCAGTACCAGCGGTACTAGCGACAGCAGCAGCAGTGATGGGCTCAGCAGCCTGCTGAGCATGTTCTCCAGCAGTGGGAGCGGTATGATTCCCCAACCCCCAAGAGTAATGAGTACATACAGTAAGCTAATGAAAAGAAAAGGCTCATCCACCGAGAACGGCGTGACCCAACACAGCGGCAGCTGCAAGAAACTCACCTTCATTTTCGCCCGCGGCACCACCGAGATCGGCAACATGGGAACCGTCGTCGGTCCGGAGGTCGCTAGCGAGTTGGCCTCCCTGACTGGGAATCAGGTCACCGTGCAGGGTGTGAATTATCCTGCTGATTGGGAGGTGAGCAATTCTCATCCCATCCCCACTTCTTCCCTTTCCTTCAATGATACATAGAAGAAGAATACGATATTAATGACAATTATGACGGTATAGGGCAACGTCTCCCTCGGCTCCTCCGGCGGTCCTACCATGGCCTCGTACGTAAAGGAAGCACTGCAGCAGTGCCCCAACACCAAGGTCGTGTTGGGCGGATACTCGCAGGGTTCGATGGTGGTGCATTATGCCGCGAACCAGCTCAGCGCGGACCAGTTGTCTGGTGCGGTGTTGTTCGGTGATCCGTTGAAGATGGAGGGCGTGGGTAAGTTGTCGAGCAGTAAGGTCAAGGAGTTCTGTGCTAGTGGTGATCCCGTTTGCGAGAATGGTGTCAATGTCATGGCGCATTTGACTTATGGCAGTGATGCTAAGGAGGCAGCGCAGTTCTTGGTCCAGGCTGCGGGGCTTTCTTCTTCTTAGATTCCTTACTTAGTTTGGGTTTGGGGTTGTTGGGATGGTATTATTACTTGTTTTGAATGGGGAGGGGTTCTGTTTGTGGTTGGGATGGTTGGGTATGGATATGAAGATGAAGATGGATTATTATAGTATCTAGAAATAGTGCTATAAACAGACAGATACTATCTCTCTATCTATTTATTGAAGCATCTAGAAGATCTTGTATCCACCCGGCATCAACACCTGGAACACACTGTGAGGATCATACTTCTGGGCAATCGTCTGCAACTTGGCCAGGTTCTCCTGTCCATATCCATCGAAGATATCCTGGAACCACGCCGCATCACCCATGTAGTTGAAGCTGTCATACAGGCCCGCTTCCAGCGTGGCATTGTTAATCTTGTAGGTGGTCTCGACCACCCAGTCGCCAACAATCTCATCATACTCAGAGCCAATCCACTCAACGACCTCAGCGTAGCACAGATACACCTGGTCCTTATCCAGACCAAGAGCATTTCCACCACGGGACTCAGAGGCCTCGAGCCACGAGGCACCAATAGGCTGCCAGTCGAGCTCGATGATGGAGATATTAGCGGTGGGGATCTGCGCGTACAGAGAGGGCAGCTGGGCAGCGAAGGTGCTGTTGATGATGCTGATACCGCGGTAGAGGTCGTCGTAGGTGGTTGCCTTGATGGTACCGGCGACGAAGATGTCACTGCAATGTTTATTAGTATACATGTAGCTAATGAGGTAGTTGGAATAAAGTGTGGAGGCGGATGTGGCGCGTACTTAATATGCGGTGTAACCAGCGCACCCGTCTCAGCCGCAAACTCCGCCAAGGTCTTGAATCCCAGGGTGCTGCTCACGGCCGGAATGTCGGTGAACGGCTTGAAGATCTCCGGGTAGCTCTCCGTGGCGCTGTCGTAGAACATAATCACCGATCCGACGCTCGTGTTGCCCTCCGGCACGACGGCGGGGACAATGTGCGTCTTGGGGTCGGAGATGTTGGCCGCGTAGGTGGCGGATGCCTGTATACCATGTTAGCATGTATCCTCCACTGTAACAATAACAGTAGGAATAAGTAGAAAGAGTATACCTCCAAAAAGCGATCAATATACTCTGCCGAAACAGTGTAAGTTCCAGCCCAGACCTGAGTCGACGGGATAGTCTCCATGTCGAAGCGAGTCACCAGACCAAAGTTGCTGCTTCCACCCTTCAGCGCCCAGAAGAGATCGCTGTGGCTGGTGGCGTTGGCCTGGACGATGGTGCCGTTCGCAAGCACGACCTCGTAGTTGATGACGGTGTCACAGCCGAATCCGACCTGGTTGCCGTAGAAGTTAATGCCGCCGGCGAGCAGCAGGCCGGGGACACCGACGGGGCCGAGACGGCCTCCGGCTACGGCGAGGTCGTATGTTTCAAGGTAGTCGTAGACATCGGCCCATCTGTTGTCATTAGAATATTTTCAATATGGTTCGTTGAAAGCGGAGGAAATAGGTACCTGTAGGCCGGGCCAACCGAGACAACGGACTGATCATCGGACAGTTCAAGGGTCGTCAGGTTGGACATGACGATGAGGACACCCTTGTCGATGTTGTTCGATCCCTGTAATTCTATCAGCACTGCACATATTTTAGATCCGAATGTATGGTGACATACCCTGATTCCCATATGTCCACCACCACGCACAGCAAACTGCGCCTCAGCGTCTACCAGTGCCTTGACACCCTGGCTCAATTCCTCAGCCGACTGGGGCCGGAACACACATCCAGGCGACATGATCTCGGTGTTGGACCAGAAGTTCTGCGCCTCATACTGGTAAACAGTGGAGCTAGGCGCAAACACTGCGCTGGACAGAGACTTGTTGAGGGTCTTACAGCCAGCCGAGGTGGCCGTGGCGGCAGCCGTAGTGGCCGCCGCCGTCAAAGGGAGAAGGGAGGCGATGCGCATGGTGTATGCTACTTGACAATGGCACTGCGGAGAGAGAGAAAACAAAAGGAAGGGGAAGAGGGAGCTTTAACTGCGGCCCAGCCGGTGTGGAGAGCTAGCTAGGCTGGTAGCTGACGTGCCTGGCGGTAGTGGTAGTGGTGGAGGAGATGCACCGGACAGCAGACTAGAAGCCCTTGGCAACGGGAGCCGGATAGCCGAGGAAGGAAGGATTATTAGAAGAACATGCCGTGCAGAATGGGGAGAGGGAGGGGATGGCTGGCCGGCTCCGGGGAGGAACTGGAATTGGCGGTTCCTGACTGGAATCTGAGAAATTCGTCTCGGGCAAACTCCCGAGAGCAGACTAGTTGAGAGGGTAGTGGAGACATTAGTGGTGGTTTAGTGAGGGTTAGTGAGGCTTTAGTCCGCAACACTAGGAGAACTTTTCCACCGATGCTCCCGACAATCATTCCAGACCAGGCCAGATCGGATGAGGGTTTCCTGTTCACATTATGGATGTTTAACGGTCGCATTATGTCTATAACTCGTGTATACAAAGGAAACTAGAAAGAAATTATGCTCCAGCATGTCTGGTGTCGACCACGTTGAACTCCACTGTGCGGAGGATCCCGTCTTCTTCCCCTTCACACGCTTTGGCCGGCAGGATGTGCTCCTCGCTTGCATTGTCGGTGCCCCCTTGCAATCGCGTCGAGTATTGCCGACTGTTGTTATTGAAGTCGGGCTGGTCGCGCGGAATCGAATTCAATGGATGGCCATACTTGCGTGATCCTGATTGGCCGTATGCGTAGGACGACAGGCCCAGCAGCTTGGGGAAGTATCGTCGCACAAACGGGCGCATGGCTGTCATGCAGCCAAAGGTGATACCCAAGTTTAATTCAATGGTGCACCATAAGAGGGCGTTGGTAGTGGCCCCTGATCTGTTAGCTGCGTTGATAGGGTGGGTGGATGAGCGACGTACAGGTTAGGTCGGTGCTATTCATTAGAACGTATAGACTTGCCAGTCGGATGCAACTCACGATGCCGACCCTGTCATTGTCAGATCCCCAATTCCAACTAGAGTAATCTCCCAATTGAGACTTACGAGCAGCCCATCGCCAGCATAGACCCGACAGCGACCTTTTGTCGCGCCGGCATCTGCAATCGCCGCAACCACGGACTATACCTCGTCAGCAGCTAGGTCATCAACCCCATAATGAGATGACGTACATTGGCACCAACACCGTCGCAAAATCCGTGAAAATGCCCAGTCCCGCATTGGCAAAATAAAACACCGGCCTGTTCATGCAGTTCGCCGGCAAGGTCAAGTCCCACGCTGCCGCGATCGGCGTACAGCTAAACACATTGGCCAGCACACTGGCCACATTGTAGCCCACCGCGATGAAAACGATCGACCACACGGCTAGTCGAAAGCCATGACTGGGGAAGATGCGCAGGTAGAATACGCAAACGGAGACTTTAGTGAACCCTGTCCCGGCGCAGTAGATAATGGCCGCGACAACGTTGAACTATAGTTTAGGGGTAAGCTTCATCAGGACCAGTCAACAGACAAACAAGGAAGAATACCTTAAGGAACCAAGGGGTCAGATGATCCAAGGGCACGTCCCACATATGCTTGCCCAAGCCAAAATCGAGCACTGTTGGTCAGCGGGGCCCGACACCGTTCATGGCTATCGATGGATCACTTACTCTTCAGAGTGACTCCGGTCATAACCGTCGAGAAGATCTGCTATGGGGTCAGCTACGTGTATCTAATACACTGGGCCAAAAATCAGATCATCCGTACCGCTGCGAAGATCATCAAGTCTAGTGTTCAGTTAGCTTTATTGTTTGCAAACATCGCCCTGCGCACCCCTCTGTCGTACTTACAGTCATCCCAGGATACACTGCGCACAACAACCACACGCGTCCATGTGCGTACTATCAGCGCTATCAGCGCCATGGGAAGAAACACACAATTCACCACGACGAACTTGGCACCGCAGTAGGGCGGATCGATAAAGTTGGAAACCTGGCCAGGAGGCGGCTCCATGGCCGGGATGATGGTGCTATTCGCCATATTGCAAAGCAGAGCTACTCATGGTAGCGCAGCAATAGCAGTAACAATAGCAGCAGCAGCAGCAGCAGCAAAAGCAGCAGCAAAAGCAACAGCCCAGATCACTCCGGGGCCAGGACGGCGAGGGGAGCGGCTCAAATAACCCCAACAGCTGGACTCAGAATAGCACGGACTTATCCTGGTGGAGATACTGATTACTATATGTAGGGTGGCATTGCATTAGGGAGCTGAACTGAGCTGACCTCAAATCTGGGACGCGGTTTGAAGGTGCATTATCCCCGAACGACGGACGGAAACCTTAAAGTCTTGGGCAGGGCGGTTGGCGGGTGTCTGGATTCGATTTGACTTTTGGAGTCTGGCAGTCGCGCAATCCGGACGGAGAGGGCCGGAAAGGTGGAGGAGAGGAGGGGGAGAAGTTGTCTAGAGCAGGAAACAAGATTTGATCTTCATTGAAGGAATGGCTTCGATGCAGGGAATGATGATTCCAGTGCTGTTTAGTGTCCACATCCACCATTGAAAAGAAGCAATCATGATGCCTGTACGGGAATGGCGGATGATCAGAAAGGCGCGGAGCAACGTCTTAAACAAGTATGGTTAGCTGAGTTGATCAGAGTTTCTATTATTTCCATTTGGAGTGATTGAGTGACTGCGTGATTGTGTGCGATCGGGATTTCATGACGCTCAGGCCCTCCAGGTACACGCTGGGCATCGTGCTTCATTCTATCCACTTCCTCGTGGATACTCCATACACACAGGTAAACACTTGCAGGGCCAGGTTCACCATGGCACTACTTGCTAGACTGGCAGTAGCATGTTCCCTCGGGGTGGAGTCAACCAGATAACCGAGGCCCGTAACCAGAGTGATCGTCCATGATAGATAGGGGTTGGTTTGCCCCTAGCTCTACTACTCCCTCGCCACCTCTTCCAAAAGACACATAATATCTATAACAGAACACATTATTATTATTATTGTTCTTATTGTTTGACACCAGTCATTATGACAAGGAAGCAACTTAACAGACCCAGACCCATGGGCCTGGCACCCATCATCTCGGCAACCGAGCCAATGCCGGGGAGGGTTTTATTGCCATCTGCCCCGTCGAATACGAGACAAGTGCCCCGAACTAGCCAACAACTCAGTATAGCCCACGATTTATTTGGCTAGAGGATTTTAGATGAATATATTAATTGAAATTACAAAGTTGTCTTCCTCGAATCATCATGATGATTATCTACTCCATAGCTTGCGAGGCCAAAGTGCCACACGCACTAAACACTAGTTCCGCACCAACCAAGCAGCGAAGTGGATCATATTCGGTTCCTCGGTTGTGCAAAAACTTTAACAACTTATCCCTGAGTGATCCCATCTGGCGCGCACATGGATTGATTATCACCCTTCCCCTGCTGTTCCTGAAGAATTGATTTCAAATAGTGTGGGTGTGATTCTGTAGGATCAGAGATGGGGGGACATTGAACTTACATGGGCGATAGCTTCATATTTATTTGAAAATGGGGAAATGGTCACCCCCCTGTGGAGAGACTACTCGTACCTAATATAATAGACTTTGAAAGCACGGAAAGGAAATCTGGTCCGGAATAGATAGTTCCCCAACTAGATAACCTCCACTAAACCGAACCCTACAAGTGTCTCTTCTGGATGACATTTCCGCGGCGATATCCGTCTACCCTATCTACTCAGACCAGAGATACGGAGTGGACACTCGGCAGAGTGACTTCTGCGTCATCATCTTATTTCAAATGCCGTAGTCTAATCACTATTTAGTATCTACTAAGCGCGAAGGACAAGATCATTATTCATAGCATCAACTACCGAGAAATGAATCTAAGACACTCCCACAAACCGTTTCATGGGCCCATACCGCCCCGTCACCTCGCGTAGTCCAGCGCCCCAAAGAAACAACGGCACCGCCAGCAATATACTCGCCCCCTGAATGGCTGTCATTTCTCCAAACACTTTCGCGGCGCCCTGTTTCGCGATCCAATCCGCCGCATACAGCGACAACAACATACCGATCGTATTCCGAATCACGAAAATAATCACCAATGCTTCGCCCGTGATCTAAAGCAGAGAAACGCCAAAATTGTTAGCATGTTCATGTTTATTTTCATGTTCATGTTCTCCCGCCAATCATGCACTATCCAACGCCACCATGCAAGGGGGTAAACTCACCGGCTTATAACAATCCAACGAATACGTGACCGCCACATTAGAAATAGCTGCCACTCCAAACGCCTGCATGGCGTATCCTACCGCCGCCCCAGCCCAGTGTGTCTGATTCGCCACGCACAGTCCGAAGATGAGGATCCCCGCGGGTCCGATCGTGCCGGGGATGATGATGGCGGGGAGTCGGTACTCCGGGAGTCGTTGGCCTCCGCGTCGTCGGGTATAATATGTGGAGAGGATGTCGATGAGACGTCCACCGAGGTAAAAGGCTAGCAGGGCGCCGATGAAGCCGGAGAGAGAGAGGAGGCCGATACTGCCTGCGGGCCAGTTGTAGGGCGGGGCTGTGAAGGTGCGGGATGCGGTGAGTTGGACGACGATGTTCCTGTACTCATTAGCTTGGGCTTGGGGAAGAGAGCATAAGGGAGGGAGCTTACCATCCTACTGAAATTCCGATGGTGAAGGACGACCATAGGAGTTGAGGGTACATCGCGTTACGGAGAATGTCCCATACAGTTTGGAGGAACGATGCATCCGGATTGTATCCCCGTGTGACGGAAAGCCAATCCCAGTATTTCGTCTTCTGGGAAGTGGCATGTCGCCTGAGATAGGTTGTTTCGCGAACCGTGAAAATGGCGACCACGAAGACAGCTCCAACTGCTATAGCGAGGAAGTAACACATCCAACGCCAATTCTCGTCCTGTACCAGGTATGCGTTAATGAGAGGACCGAGGAAAAGCCCACCGGTCAGAGCGAGATGAAAGATCATCAGGTAGTGGCCGCGTTCGTGGGGAGCGACCATGTCGCTGACCACGGCTGGGACGGTGGCATCGGCTGCGGCTGCTGCGAAACCGGAGATTATGCGTGAGGCGAGCAGCTCGCCGTAACTGGTGGCGCGAGATGACCAGACATTCATCATGGAGAGGAAGAGCATGGAGATGAGATAGACGGGGCGTTTGCCGATGACGCGCATCAGTGGAACCCAGAAGATGTTGCCGACGCCGAAGAGGAAGACATTGAAGCAGACGAGCTCGCCCGCTTGGGTCTGGGAGACGTGGAATTCGGCGATGATGGCCTTGGTGGCGACGGTGAAGTTGCTGCTGTTGACATTGGCGAGGAAGGTGTAGAAGCAGATGGTGAGGTAAGTGATGAGTTTGGCAGCGGTGGACCAGTTCTGAGAAGTTAGCAAGTACACAGAGTGAGCTCGGCGTAGCAGAAGGCGATCACGATCGTACCTGGGGATCATTAGGGGCGGGAGTCATGGTTTCTTTTTCTTTGGAGGGATCCGGGAGGCCATGTTCCTCCGCGGCGTGGTCGATATGGCCAAAGCTGGCTTTGTCGTCTTCCATGGTGGTGATGGTAGAAGGATAAAGCAAATAGGGGGATGGAGTACTTCACTGTAGCGCTGTAATAGCTGGCATAGGACCGGCAATTATGTAGGTCATCATCACAGGGTAGATCCTGCGGAGTAACTTGGATCCCTTGGAAGACCCGGTGTCGGGATATCCGAGAAGCCCTCGAATCTGCTGTAGCCCCAAGACCAACAAAACAACAGAATCCCCCCGGACTGACTTCGCTTGGGTCCCAGTTACCCCGCCTTTTGCTACCCCGGAATGAGCGAGCTTGGCCTCTTGGCTCGTCGCTGCAGTTCTCTCTCGGATGACCCGAGAGGATGGTGAACGAAGCTAGGGTTTACCCAGTCACCGGGCAGCTCGTTTGGCAATTAGACTGACTGGCCACTACAATCTCGGGATTTGCGTGACACGAGCTGGGATTCTTGCAGGTGGCGTGAAATCCTTGGAGGGACATCATTTATCTGGGCAACCTTGAGCTGACATCCTATCATAATTCAGGGGTGAGTCAGGACTGTATGACAGTGTTAAATCACGATCTACTATCAAATTCGGACAAGATATCCAATTGCCGATCGGGAGGAATGCTGTTATTCTCAATGGCACTGCCCGGATATTGGACTGAACGCCGTCTCATTTATTCCTCAGGCATGCATAAGGCAGCAATGTCGCGCTGGTAGACCCAGGATAGTTTATTTACGCTAATAATGTTCTCAGGAAATGATTTGGGACTATTATCCATCATTTTCATCAGCTAGGATATAGTGTATCCATATGTTCTACTATATTGTGTTAAGCAAGGCTGTATAGCAAAACACACAACACGTAGATGCTACATCGGCTTCACCGCCGGATCCATCAGAACTGTCTAGATGAGCAACAACATAAGGAATTAGATATATATTCAAGACATCAACTAGCTTGCTAGATCTTTCTATTGTTGCGTAGTCCTGGTAGTCATTACTGGAATTCTGTAGCGCTCACCTCGCGTGACAAAGAAAAATGAGATAGAGTAAAATACGAAATATCTTCATTAACATTAATATTTCCATGATCCAACTACTAACCCCGAGGGTACTAAGCTCTCAATTGTCATCCCACGGTACCATCAAGTAAATCAAGTTAATGTATAAACAACTAAAATACTATCTAACAACCTAAAAACGCTTGCCATCGTCTATCGTACATGATCATCAGCATCAGCAGCACAAGTCCGACCGTCGAGTTCGCGGCCTCCCATCCACAGCCTCCCTCTTCCAAACATAATACTCGCATAACGTCCGGCGCCGCCGAGTCCGTTCGTCCCCGGGTACCTCTTCCGCCTCCTCGATCTCCTTATCATGGCCGCTATCCTTATCGTGCACGATATGCCTCCATCCCTCGATGACTTCGTCCACCTCCGCCATATTTCCAACCCCGAGATTGTAGGGCCGATAGTCCGGGTCCCGCTTGAGCCGCTCAATCACGCTGTAGTGCAGCTTAGCTCCTTGTGGCAGCGGCCGTCGCAACCCCCCGACATGCCATCGTGTCGATTGCACCCTTCCATCCGGTGCCACTTTGGGCCGCTTGATGGGCAGACACTCGAGAACTCGCCAGAATAACGTCTCCAGCGTCTTGCCCGAGTCATAATGGAGGGAATCATGCAGGATAGCTCGCTCAGCCTGATGTATCACTTCTGGGTTGCTGTGCTCCTGCCTTCTAAAGTCAAAGCAGCCGAGCTTGTGTAACTGCTCAGGCTCGTAGGTAAGTCCAGCCTCGATGGATTCCTCGACCATCCACATCAGGGGGATCTGGCTGGCTACATAGTCTCGGCCCAACTCACGCGGCCATCCACCACCAACGTCGCTATGGTCGCCAGAAAAGTAGACCTCCTCGAACTCCGTCTCTGGAGACGCCGTCAAGTCGCTACCCCAGAACTCAACGTCCGCCCGCTCAGCCCATGTACTCACCCGGCCGATCCTCCCATGCGCCCGTAGCTTCTCGAACAGCACTGGTTGGAATTTGATTCGACGTTCATCAATGCTAACTGCATGTCGCATGATTCGCGGTTTCGGCTGGATTCGCATGTCTCTATGATCATCGTAGATGTTGAACTTGGCCACGCTGTTGACTGTATCAAAAAGACCCAGGAAATGCACGCGGCCCACGGATCGGCACATCGTGTCGCGGCACATGCGGAGAAAATACTCGGCCTGTTCAGATTCCTTGCCACTGTTGGCAAACTTGTACGATGTAAACGCTTCCCAGACAAGCGGCATGATCTCCTCGTTATCGGCTGAAATTAATCCAATAAAGTCAAGCATTTCGTTGAGGAATCGTGCCGTGTAGGCCCCACGCGAGAACCCAAACAGGTAGATATGCGACCCCGGAATCCAACGGCGAGCGAGGAAACGGTATCCATAGATGACATGCTGGGCGAATGAGGTCGCGAGCGCCTCATCAATGATCGCATTCGGGGCGATGTTGCTAAAGGGACGGACAGCCGCGTTGGCGAAGGTCCCAGGCCTGATGTCTTCTCCAATACCGGCTGTCATCATGTTAATAATTGGTAATATCACTCAAGTGGGGCAACATACGCTGGTAGTAGCAGTCTAATCACGTCAGCCAGTGCCCAGTACAGTTATCAAGGTAACTCACATCTGTTTTCCTTCTTGCGGTCTAGCATGCGGAAGATCTTGAGAATGTTGCTATCCCCGCCATCCACGCGGAACGTGTTCCCTGTTCCATCGAAACAGAGAACCAGCTCTCGCGTCGGACGGTCTGGCGGGCACAAGCAGTTGCACGGGTCGAGACTCATTTTGTTCTTAGTTCGTAGCAGCTTGGAGTCTCAAAGAACCGGTGCCGAGATTGGGCAACATTGAGCTTAAAAGGGCCGACATTGCCTGACAGCTCCGCTCCCACCATCAGCTGAGGTGTCCAAAGAGTTGGCAGTGTCGGGGCACTGTCGATCCTGTGGGGATAACAATAGCCTGGCAGGATGGCTGGTTGACTCACCGCATATGCAGGGCTTAGCTTGTTGTAAGCCATGAAGTCAGCTTCATGTCTGAATTCAGCTGATCGACAGACGAATGGCAAGAGTTTGCTGTAGTTCGTGCTCGGACGATGCCTTACCGGGCCCTCTGGGGTCACTTGAGTTTGAGTCAATCTCGAGAGAGCCATCCAATCACCATTCATCGTAAGAAAGGCTGAAGTCCAATCAGTCTGATATAAGCCTAGATCACCACTAGGACACATGGTCAGCATCGTGGCGCAATTCGTGTTCGAGCCTGGTTGGTGATCTTCAGGCGTCCAGTAAGCAGAATATGACCAATCACAGAACATGATGTGATACTGCATTTTTATAGACAATATATGCATGCATCGATGTTCATTGCAGAACCCAATCGGCAGTTTTAGCGACCCATTGTTGACCAGAAAGGCAACTCGTGTGCCGAGTATCCTGCTTCTACGGGGGTCTCCGGACTCACCAAGTCACCCAGTCAACTGCTTCAATTTGCCTCCAAGTATTCACGACAGCCCTGATTTGCCCTTTCAGAGAACTCCGAAAGGATTGCTTCAGCTCTTGGCCTACTCGCATTGGCAAGGTCGGCCAACGCCACTCTGCCTTGCATCTGCACAAGGCCGCCTTCCGGTGCAAGTGCGTAATCAGGTTAACCGTCTGTGTAGTGATATCACGACAGGGCGACCGAGCCTGCCTGGGAAGAGGTGCCCAGTCTTGTCTGTCTCAGAAGTATGGTCATATGGCGCAGTTGTGGCGAAGGAAGACAGTCTACTTTCGAGCCGTCGAAATTACTTTGAACATGCTTCAAGTTGGCATCAGCTAGACATCCGAAGGATGGCCTTAATGCGCAGCGGTTCTTCTCAGTGTTCTCTTATATATATTGGGGTATTACTCTGCATGCGCATGTGCTAGGGATTATGCCTCCTGTAGCTGTAGCTGTCAAATGACACTCAAATGTCATCCTGTCGGCTATTAAGGGAGGTCGACAAGTATGACCCCTGATCAAGACATTGATATGGGATGTCTGATTGTCCCCAAACGCTGTGTGCTAATGGTCCGCTTCCCATCAAGTGTAGTAGAGAGTGTAGCTGCCCAATGCTATGGTTCCAGGTAATAAGCTCGGTTTGAGTTGGCTAGCTTTGCTCCACTTTAGCGACTGGACCAAAGAATGGATGCCATGAATCGAGTGGGACGCGCTTGTCGATCATTGTTTACTGAGTATCATTCGGCCCTCATATTCGCTGCTCGTGGTATCCAAGGCTAATCAGATGGATCAACTCAGGCAAGATACCTTGCCGGTCGCTGCGACAGTCGTTGTAGCAATATGGCTACTAACTCTGCTATCCTCCATTTAAAATGGGTCGAGGTATACTGCTTGATGCAATGCCATATTCTAGTGTGACGATGAGAGCAGAAGGCATGGAGTAAGGAGTAGAAGATTATATTTGTTACTAGTGAGAGAGAAAAGGGGAGGATGGCGTTGACCCCTCAGGCATCAAGTGGAGAGCCTCAGCGAACGACCAAACAGTGCAAACACCCACCGGTCCGATGATCTCACCTTTCCCCTTCTCTACCTCCATCCTAAAGATCATCAAGCACCTCACTTGCACAAAGGATATCTATATATATGCTGCTAAGCATACTAACATTGGTGCGGGCGCTGCCACAGTGCTCTTCCTAGCAGCCATTCATCAGAACACCTCCATGCCATGAATTCAAGCGGCCCTTTCTTCTAGCATCTCAATCCCAACAATGATACCTCCTCCTACGGTCTTTGCTGGTGTCGCATACACCAGAGGACATTAAGCCTGTTTGCAAAAGCCATGGCGCCAGATCGCAGAATTATGCACTCGCGTCTGGAGTGGATTCGGTGTGTTACTCCCACCTATCTACCCCATGGCCTCAATATTTACTGTGGAAGCAATAGACGCTGGAATCATTATAACTGACCGGACAAAGTAAATAAATAGGCTATACCTACCAACACCGCCCCTCC